GCAAGAATTGAACTACAGGTTCAGGTAGCAGTATACGACAAATGGGAAATTACACTGAGAGCAACCAGAACCGAAATATAGTCTATCTTGATATGTATCTGTGTGTGCACATGCATTAACCTCCAGCTCAAATATACAGAATAAACAAGTGAACCATGCAGAGTGTGAATGGACTGAGGTTCACAACCTGCATGCTTTTACTGTGTTCCTCTGTGTGAGAGCAAGAAAGTGTAGTGCTCCTTTATACTGCAAATGTTTTTTGAGTTGAGACAGAGCAAAGATTAATGAACCAGACTATCACTATAAAGTGTAGTCTCATGATACAGGCAGTGCAGGTGATGATGATAATACTGTACATAGTACTTTGTTTAACAGAAATGACACTCTAAGATAGTATTTAGCACTATTAAAAGAGAACTTTATCAAGGGCATCAGCTTCACATTGTTCTTGCTTCTGTCTAAGAGAGAGTTTCATACCTTCAACTACAGATAATGTTATTTTCAGCACCATTGCCATTTTAATTATTGTAAATAATTATTTCAACTCATTCTTAAACAAGAAATGTCCAAAAAAAGAAACGTTTGATCCCATGAATGGCGCACATTCATACAAAGGCTGTTAGGAGAGGAGGCATCAAAATAGGAAAACTATTGAGACTCGTCCAAGAAAACTGCACTGAGAGGAAAAGGAAGTGACAAAGCAGAGAGTTGTCTCATGACAGACTAGACCTCTTTTAGACTGATATAAACTGTTTGCAGGACAATCTACAACATCACATATATAAAATAGAAGATCATTTTAAGCAGTTACTGTACAAACAAGTAAACTAAACACTGCCATAAATAAAATGGACAACATGAATTGGATATTATATCGTATTCTGCTTCTAATCTGTAAACTGAGCTTGTAAATAAGACAAAGAAAGACTTAAAAGACAAAAAAGACTTAAAAAGCTAAGTGAAATGAAACCCTCTGCTGAGCGTCTGTTTTGAACAGGAAGACCCAGTTTCCTCTGTGTGCTCTTAACTTAGACTGAACACCAGGAAGCTCCTACGCCATGAGAGTCCAAGGGGGAATTTAGAGCCCTGTTATAAACATCCGTGTTGTATAATACACAGATATTCACTGTATGACTCTGTAGGTCATATTATTTTAATAAAGAGTAAGTCAAAATAGGTTATAAAATGCCCTTTAATATGTTAAAAGAGCTATTTTGAAAGATTATGCAGTATAAAAACAAGACATTTAGAAAACATTTGTAAAATTTTATTTTTTTGTTTTCATTTTTTAAAAACTTTTACTAGTTAAAAAATGAAATAATATTTAAAAAATGAATTATTTCCTTCCATGAGTGATCTGCCACAGTTGTGTCTGCTTTTTCTTCTGCTGCAAAAAGAGCAAATCTTTTAATTTCTCATTTTGAAAATCGGCTATGATTATATGTGTTTAAAATAAAGTCTGTTAACTTTGTGGACCTTCACACAACAGTGCAGGAGCGTGGTTCTCTGAAGGGGTTGCTGCCTGTGGGAACGCCGACCAGCAGAGCGTCCTTGCCTGCGTTCTGCAGACAGTACTGCTGGAGCTCTGCAGCTGCTTGGGACACCTGGGCACACCAACAAACATATGGTACCACTGTTGATAAGCACTAACTAGTGGCTTTATCAGTGGTTATAAAGCTAATGCTCTATAGCTCATTTATAAGAATGATTCTTGGGTTGCCAGGCTGCGGAACATCATCAGTCTTATTTTGTCTTTTTACTAGAGTTTTAATTCATTAGGAATACCTCTAAAAATGTGATGTGTGTTAAACCTCTCGTAAATATTTATTGTATTCTACAAAATCAGGACAAAAATCTGATGTCACATTTTAATGTGTCACAGTGTTTGGGGACAGCACACAGCAATATATTTCCATCATTCTATCATCCTATATTTTCATCATAATATGACTGTGTTTTAGTTTTAAAGCTTCTGAAGTGTTACGCAAAAAAGTGTATAACAAAACAGATCATAGTTTATAAGACAGTGTGGAACAACCATGTGGAAGTTATAGTAATAAATAAATAAATAAATAAACTGTATAAAATGCAAACAAAACATTACACTGTAGTGTGTTTAATACAGTAGGCTATTGCTTTTCATTGGTTACATTTAGTAAATATAACAAAATTAAACAAATCAAATAAGTAAACACGCAAACCCTAAACTCTTATGTCCTGTAAATGTATTTGCCTTTTCTACCATCAGCTTCGTTTCTTTTGTTTACCTTGACTCTTTCCACACTGGCCTCAAGCTTCAGTTGCTCTACCATCTTCCGCATGTTGGACAGATTGGAATTAGAAGTCATGTTGGTGGGAATTGTTTTGGGAGAGAAGAATTCCTTGTTAAAAAAAGACTCCGGTCAGCCTTTCAGCACAGCAGTCAACTCCACCAATGGACAGCATACGCTCAACAAGAAAGAGTGGCCGGGTTTCTTTCCCAGTGACTTCAGTCCACTTCACTAAAGAAACAAGGATGGATACAGGCACAGTGATTTCCACTGTCAGGCCCATTTTAAACACTGTGTTATAAACATGAAATGAAATAGTAAAGTGAATTTAAAGCCTTTATATTTTAGCATATATTGTTCAGCATTTTATATACAGAGACATGTATGGTTTTTTTAGTAATTTTATTAGTGAGCTTTCTTAGAACCATGTTCTATTGAAATCTTGCATATATATCATTATTAATACAGGGCCCATGGAAACAAAGCAACTCATTGATGATGTTTGGATATTCCCCTTTTTTCTTTATATATATGTTGTTCTTATACATATTTATTTTTTTATTAATATGTTTGTTTGTTTGTTTGTTTTGTTAATGCATTTTTCATGCATTCTTTTTTAAGATCACTGCTGTTTGGATTTGTCTTATGTCTTATGCCGTTGTTCTCAAATTTTAGGCCCATCTCAAATTTGCCATTTCTCTCCAAAGTCCTTGAAAAGATAGTTTATGCTCAGTTACTGGCTTTTTTAGATGAGCACAATATTCTTGAGACTTTTCAATCAGGGTTTAAAACCCAGCATAGTACTGAGTCAGCCTTGGTGAAAGTCTTAAATGACATTTTTCTTGCTACTGACTCAGGGAATTGTGTGGTCCTAGTGCTCTTAGATTTGACTGCTGCTTTTGACACAGTGGACCACAATATCCTTATTTCTCGTTTGGAGCACTGGGTGGGTATCCGGGGGATAGCTTTGGAATGGTTTCGATCTTATCTTAAGGATAGATCCTTCTGTGTGAAACTAGGAGATGCTGTATCTTCCTCTGAGCCCCTTGTGTATGGGGTACCACAAGGCTCGGTCCTTGGATCCCTTCTTTTTTCCCTTTACCTTCTCCCACTTGGTACTATACTCAGGAATCACAGTGTTTCCTTTCATTTTTATGCGGATGATTGCCAGCTTTACCTACCGGTTAATAAGATGAGCTCTTCCGTTAGCACACTTCTTGAATGTCTGGATGACATTAAATCTTGGCTTGCTTTTAACTTTTTAAAGCTGAATGAGGATAAGACTGAGGTGATTGTATTCGGTGATTCTGTTGGTTCACCATCTGTTGACTTGGGCTCATTGGCTCATTATAATCAAAAGAATATTTTAAATTTAGGTATTAAGATGGATCCAGATTTAAGATTCGACAGCCAAATTGCAGCTGTCACTAAATCTAGTTTCTTTCACCTCAGACAGTTGGCTAAAGTAAAAGCATTTGTCTCTAGACAGCATTTTGAGACGCTTATTCATGCTTTCATTACTTCCCGTTTGGACTATTGTAACTCATTGTATCTTGGGGTCGGTGAGTCTTCTATCAATCGCCTCCAGATGGTCCAAAATGCAGCAGCGCGTCTTTTAACAGGTACAAGGAAATATGAACATATCTCTCCAGTTTTGGCCTCCCTACACTGGTTACCTGTCCATTTTCGGGTCCATTACAAAATTTTACTCTTTGTTTTTAAATCCCTTCATGGCTCTGCACCATCCTACTTAACTGATTTGCTTCATTGGCATACACCCACACGCTCTCTGAGGTCAGCAAATCAGTTTCTCTTGAGTGTCCCAAGAACGAAGCGTAAGCTTAGAGGCGATCGAGCCTTCGCAGTTGCTGGTCCTAAACTCTGGAATGATTTACCGCTGTCCATTAGACAAGCCTCTGCCCTGTCTGTTTTTAAGTCTCTTTTAAAAACTCATTTATTTCCCCTGGCATTTTGATATTTTTGTGTTGATTTTAGTCTTTTTTTTATATTGATTATATTTTATATTGTTGTTTGTGGTTTATAATTTATACTGTTTTATTGCAATGTACAGCACTTTGGTCCACTCTGGTTGTTTTTTAGTGCTTTATAAATAAAGTTGGTATGGTATGGTATGGTTTCAACGCTTTAGTGGTCACCCTTAACAAAAACAAAATCAAACGGCTCTGCGCATGCGTCAGCCTGTGCTGCCTGAAAGTGCTGTGAAATGTCGTGCTGCTGCCGAGCTGGAGATTACAAGCAACGGTGGTTTCCCAGAAGGACTACAACACAGTCTTCTGTCGTCACTAGGCTGCGGGTGACTGTTTGGATTGGCTCTAAGTAGTTTCTGTAGGGGAACATTACAGAAAGGCCTGGGATGCTGCACTTTTGGAGAACGATGTCGAGGTGTTGAAACGATAGTAAGGGCGTAGAGCTTGTGGATTTTAAGAACTGAAGTGTGAGAGTTTGGTAGACATGGTAGAGGTATTTTCCGGGCGGACGCTCCTGAATAAAGACGGGGATTGCGTGGACCCCGAAGTGGCGTTGAGGAATAAAGTGGTGGGGATCTACTTTTCTGCAGGATGGTGTCCCCCTTGTCGGGACTTCACACCCATCCTGTGTGATTTCTACACAGAGCTGGTTGAGGAGGGTGAGCCTCCTGCTCAGTTTGAAATAGTTTTTGTCTCCTCTGACAAGTCTCTCGATGATATGGTTGAATATTATCACGACATGCACGGAGACTGGTTAGCTCTGTCATGGACGGACGACTACAAACAGTAAGTGTCAAAATCTAAGGGAAAGTCCATGGAGGTTTGGAGTGTACGGTTATTTCATTTGGCTCCTTTCTTTTTAGTATTTTAGACATACATTTAAACTCCATATAATATGTCAGAAACACAAGTGGCTGCACTTGGCTGAGCTTTATTTGTCCTATAATCTCATTAGGATTTAACACTGTTCTCTATAAAGCCTATTAGTTTATGTAAAACGAAGGCCATCCTCTTAGGTTGAAATGCAGAGCAGGTAAACTTCCACCCACACCTGAGTCTAAACGTGACTTTAAGACTGATATATTTATTGTTTGTTTACTTATTTTATATTTTTTGTCTTTGAAATGCCCAGGTGTCATGTTGGGTTAAATACTTGTCTGTTATTTTGCTTTGTTTACTTAAATAAAAGTAGGGTACCACAATATATATTATGCATTAAAAGTGTTATTTGGGTAGAAGTACATAGTATTATCAGCTAAACTTTCATTAAAGTGTCAGAATAATCATTTTAACTTGTATATGGTTTATTGTGAGACTGATAAATCAATCACAGTGCATCAAGTATCAAAGTACGCTTTATGTTTTGTAAAATTTGAATTTGTCAGGTATTGCGTGCAGTAGCTGCCAGATAGATGTAGTAGAGTAGAAAGTACCTCTAAATTGTAGAGGTGCATAAAATGGGAAAATGTAAGTAAATGTGCGAGTACTTTACAGTTAACGAAATGTGTTTCTTTCTCTCTTCTCTGTCAGTGAGTTGAAGCAGCGCTACAAGATCACAGCAGTGCCCAAACTGGTGATCGTGAAGGAGAATGGTGACGTGATCACAGACAAGGGCAGAAAACAGATCCGAGACCGAGGCCTGGCCTGCTTCAGGTCCTGGTTGGACGCTGCAGAGATCTTTCAGAACTTTAACGGTTAGGAAACAACGACAAAGAAAATGCCTCGTTTTTTTCCGCATAGGCAACTGTAGCCACATGATGTATAGACGGGTGACAAATAAAAGGAAAAGCCTGAACAAATGAGTGGCCTCTTCCAGGATGACCATCAAAACACCATTTTGACCATCATGTTAGACAGCGTCTCCACCACCATCATCAAAACACCAAATGAGGGAATATCTTTGGATGAATGGTCTTCATCCCTCCGGTAGAGTCCAGAGACTTGTAGAACCAATGCTGAGGTGCACTTCAGCTGTTCAGGTGGCACTTTATGTTGGATTTTCTTTTCATTTGTCACCTGTCTGTAAGAGCTCTGAACAAAACCAAAGTTAAATAGTTCTATATGCATTGTAGCTCAGTGGAACCCGACTTGGGGATAATTCTAAAGGGCCACAAGATGATTAAAGAAATAAATAGTTAGATTTCTTTTACACAAATGTATTTGCTCAATTTTTAACACCTTTCTTTTACCTTTAATTATTCTAAAATCTTTCAGAAGAAATAATCATAGAAAAATGATTAGGTGTTGTGGGGTTTGCAAGTAGACACTGATTTGTTTTAAAGGTTCACAAGCCAAAAAGGTCCTTTAATAGTTGACTTTTACCAAACATCCTATGCATTTAAAACAAACTGTGGTTCACATGTGAAAATAGTCAGCTTTAGAAAAACTACATGCCAGCTACTGTAGTTTCTCACTAACTCCTATTCTTTACAAGCTCTTGCACTAGTTAACATCTGGCCTATATTACAGAGACACTGTGATTATTTTAAGAGGGCTTGAGTAGTTCTTTTATGAGCTGCCTGTATATTTTTATATGTTGTTTTTTTATCAGTTGTTAAGACAGATTTCTATTAAAATATATATATATATTCTGTGATTTTTGGATGCACATTTGATGTCTGCTTTGCTTCATAGTTCTGTAATAGCGTCTATGTTTTATGAACAAACAAAGTGATTCCCTGTTGCCTTGTTAAAATGCAGAAAGCCCACAGGACATAGTTTCCAATGTGTTGGCACAGTGGCATCCTTGGCCCTAATTGCCTTTACCCCTTGTGTATGCTGACAGTGCTGTTATTACTTCATACATAAAACATCCAGCAGGCTGATGGCATAATGATGGGTCTGCACAGGCCCCGTGGCTGTAGGTGTATCTTCTCGCTAACATTAAATGGTGCAAATCTTCAAAGACAACATCACACCAGGTAACGCCCAGAGGCTGCATTCAGGAGTGAAAGTGGTGGAAGATGGTGGTTCTCCTCCAATCAGGTCAGTTGTGTTTATGCCACAGTTCATCAGAGGATGTAGAGAAAGATCTCACAGTCTTGACACAGAATAAAATGATGCAACCCCTCAAGATATAAGGAAGAGAGAAAATGAAGCACAGGACAGTAATTAGTATGTGAAGAGACAGACATCTATGACACGTCAGAGTGAACATGACATCCAGGAACTGGGAACTTTGGAACTAGGAACTGGACTTTGATGACCCAGTTTGCATCATTATCCATCTGGTGTGTTTCCTTTTCAAACGGTGGCCATTGTAGTTTTATACTCTGCCACATGGGGTCGCTATATGGTAAATAATAGAATTCACTGTTACGTTTTACTCCAAATCAGGAGTTTCTCCTCAGGCAGCTACACTTCAGGTGTACTTCAGGTGATTTATGGATGATCAAATATAACCACCTGTATGATCCATTGATAGGGATTTGTTTTACAATTTAATTTAAGGGTTTGTGATGATGTGGTCTCTTATCCAATAGCTGAATTTAAAGAAACCCAACAGCTCAGATCAGAACCTCGAGGCTGTTAATAGTTCTTGTTTGAAACTCAGTCAAATAACTACACACCGATGCAACAACTACAAAGTGACAAAATTATTCCTCAAAGATAACTACAGACTACAAAGACACAACAAGTAGAGAGATGCAAAAGTAGCTTAAACACATAGATATAAATTGACCTGAAAGCCTCTTTGAGCCTGGGTGTCTTGATTCTGTGTAGGAGGGACTGAGGACCTTTCATATGTTTGTGCTCAGGGGCCCCGGGGACATGGTCTCTTAAATATGTTTAAACCACCTAGTTGGGAAGACACTCATGCAGACTTTTATTTCTGTGGTATTGCTAAGTGTACACAGGTAAATCTGAGGTAAATCAGCACTGTTTCAGGATAAAATGACCTCACCGTCACAGACACAGGCTACAAGTCTTTAGAGGAATAGGCTACTGGGATTTGTGGTCAAACATGAGCCAACACACAATTATGTGCCTAACTGAAAATCACACAGGGGGTTGGTCAATATGAGACTTGGGTGATGAAGAAAACCAGTTCTTTAAGTTTTATTAGCCTATTTTGTACTTAACGTCCGCCCACAGCTCGTAGCCCTCTGGCAAGTTTAGATTAAGACTGATGTTTATGGCGACTTTACAACAAGTAGTCAGTGGGACTTCTTGTTGGCTTTGGAAATGAAAGGCAGCAGTGTTTCTGCTGCTGTAACGGTGTCTTGGATCAACTAACAAGGATGTCTTTATATGTGACCAGGGATGGAGGGTGGACGGCCAACCTGCACGGAGAGAGCGCCTGTGTCAAGGTGACCACGTTAATAAACACAACTTCCGCTCGGAACCTTCAAAATAAGACAGTTCTGCAGAAAGTCCCTCTACTAGACTATGGATAGCTAATGTAATTCAGTGGTGCACATTTCTAAATTTTCTAGAGATAAGTCAAATTATTTAGACTGAAATTATGGAGTAAACCCGGTCTGGTTTCACAATTATATTCTAGACTGGTCTACAACTACTGTTTCCCAGAAGGACTACAACACAGTCTTCTGGCGTTGCTGGTTTGCAGGTGATTGTCTGGATTGGCTCTAAGTAGTTTCTGTAGGGTAACATTACAGAAAGGCCTGGGATGCTGCACTTTTGGAGAATGATGTTGAGGTGTTGAAACGAAAGTAAGGGCGTAGAGCTTGTCTACAAGACAGAAAACGATGTAAAACAGCCAACCTTGCTCTGTCCAGCTACCCTTAATAATGGTTCAGCACATAACCTCCATGAAACAGGGACAGATCTAGAAATCTTTGTTTAGGATGGTCAGACTAGGGCACAGACTCAGAGACGGGTGGTCAATTTAAAATGCTGGTAAAAAGTAAATCAAACCTCTAGTTCTATGAAATAATAAACCATACACCATAAAGAACTGAATTGTTTGTGTTGTGTATAAATGGGACACACATAGTGCTTTCTTTAGCTAAAGATGCCTGTGCTCCTTGTTCATGCTGGCACAGTGGGCGCCCCCCGTGCTGCATTCATGATTTAAAATAAATGTAATTTGACCACTATCAATTCTAAAGAACCAGAAAAATGTGAGTTGTAAGGCAACGATTTATAGTGGCTTTTTATTTTTCATTCATTAATACTGACAAGTATCACATTTTGACTGTGGCCTGGGTGTCACAAGAGCTGCTGTGTGTGTGTGTGTGTGTGTGTCCATTTGGGAGTTCAAGCGTGTTTTATTTTATTTTGAAGGCAACAGCCCTCGTGTTCCGGCTTTATTTTTCCCTGCTAGGTGGTCCAAGTGCTGACACCGTCTCATGCGGTCCGCAAGCGTTGGCTGTTGACTGAGAGGACAACACCGGACCGCAGCGCCGGGACAGAGCACAACCTCCACCCGCAGCATGAACTGAAGCACAAGCTGCTGGAGCAGACAACCGCAGGGACACTAAGGGACTGTAGGGTAAGTTATCCGATGTGAAATATAGATGCAGCCTGCTGATGGCCAGAATGTAAAATCAAATCTTAATGGTCATTGTCCTCATACTGAGCTACTTTTCTTGATAAGTTATGTAGAACAACTATTAATTATATAAGGTTCTATTTTTCTCATAACACAATATACTTTCTGAAAGCAGCCACTGGGGAAACATTTGTATAAATGTATTTTCAGTGCTTTTATTGTTTTCACTTAAATGTTATATATAAAGCCATTGAGTATAAACACTCTTTTCTGATATATTTAACACAAACAGTAGACTACTGGGAAATATTATTATAAACCAGTCAGCTTGTCAATCTTTGAGTCATGGTTTACAGCAGATCACCAAGTCACAGTGAGGAATTAAAAGTCCGGCCACAACAATTTAGTGAGTAGACCCATAAATCACATGCACTCAGTGAAAGTGCAGGCTTCATTTCCACATCGCTCACACAAAAACACATGCATACTGTGCACACACAGCAAGCTGGAGGTTTTATTAGAGAACTGGCTCTAATCCTGTTCAGTGCATTTACTAACAGGCACCTTGCACCCTGAGATATTTGGTTTGCAAGCTGGCAGGGCTGCTTTTCTCATATTGGAAGAATGAAACTGGAGATTAACTGGGACTGAGTTTGTTCAGCGAGCAGAGATAAGAGAAAGACTGTATACATACTGTATATGTCCTCACCGAATATGAATGATTAACTGAAAAAATGGATGTGATACCTGAAGATTTGTGTTTCCTGTGTCTGGAAGATGAAGTCACCCCCATTAAAGGCTCAGTACACACACACATGTCCTACATGCATTTCGTGCATGTCTGTGAGCCGGGGAGTATGTGACCACACTTTCTGACCACATGTATTCTCATGTTTCACAGATCAGATGAAAGAATCTGTTAAAGCGTCTACACAGTGACATTTTAATGGTGCTGCTGTAACTGCAGCATCCCTGCAGCATATTGACAAATGACCCTTTATGATATTACAGTCGCCCTTGCTCATTTAGATGATGCTGCTTTATAAAACTTTATTAAATTAAATGGAGAGCTCATGAATAACTCTGAAGGACATAGTGCCTCAAGGACTGACTGCCAGTTTCACTCATGTATGACTTGGCAAACAGCAAAGGGTGGAACAGGTGCAGTTACAGTTATTTCTGTAAATGTTACAATAACTGCTAAAAGCCAAACCACCTTTGTGTGCAAATATGCTGCAGTTGAGAAACGCCACTGCTGTGTGGTGGTTTACTGTCCAGGGAGGAGAGGGAAGTAATGAGCTCTGGCACTTTCTGAACTGCTTTGACCTTGTTAATGTCTTTCACAATGTCTTTGCCAAGCATGTCCATGGGATGCATTTAGTGAAAATCTGTTACTTGAGTGGTAATAATTGCAGAGGTGAGGATGCGATGGTGTGTTGCAGGTGAGATGACCAGATGTTTTTCATAGACACGTTAGACTTAGGTGTTTTGTGTCAACCTCAGTTTTGTGTCACCCCATGTGACAGAGAGTCTGTTGTACTGTACAAACTATGATTTTATATATTGAGCCATAATAAGCTGTGCCCTGTCCGAATTGTATCGTGGTTTTTCATTGTGCTCAGACATACTGTAGCACAGTGAAGAATTGGGTGGTGGTTGGTTTTTGTATCGTTCATTTATGGAAGAAATCAATTTTTTTACTCGACAACAAGCTTTGTGGTTCCCACTGTTCAATTTTGGATTGAAAGCAGAGTAGCTTTTTATGGTGACAAATGCTAACGAATCACATATGCATGCGCTTTGGCCTGAATGATACTAGTCCCAGCTTGTGACACTCATGTATTACATACACTCGAGTCACAGAGAGATGTTCTGTGAATGTGCACAATTGAGACCTGATCACAGAGAGATCTTCTGTGAATGTGCACAATTGAGACCTGCCGACCGTTTTAACCCCGTACCTTCATTTCATAACACTTCACCCAAATTCTGGAGGTATTTCCTGACTATTCTGACTCTTCTACTGATGTGAAATCATAAAGAATCTGTTCAGAATCAGTCTGGAAAAATATCATTTTTGTTAGTTTCTCTGGTAAAACAACTTCTTTTTAGTTAAGAAAAGATGGCAACAGGAGATGACATCGTCTCTCTTGTTTTTTGTGAAAGTTGATCCTATTATAGTCAGTGGTCGACTGACTGTTGTGACTTTCACACAAAGCCAGAGCAATGACATCATTTCCTGTTGACATCTTTGTTTATATGAGACAAATAGACATAGCTGATAAACCGATATTTTTCCTGGATTGGAGCAGATTATTTTCGATTCTGCTTTGTTATGAATCCAGTTTTTAGCAACTTAAAAACAGCTTGGTTATCAAAATGGTTGCTATCTGCCTGTCTGTCTACTCTGCTGCTGCAATGACCCATCTTCCCATGGGGTAGAAAAGTGGAAGTAAGGAGGGGGGAGCGAAGGTTAACACGGGACACTTGTAGTGAAGTAGTATAGTGTTTTTTTAAGGATCTTCCAGATGGCATGTCAACAGGAAGGTTCTGGGGAATCCGGCCCTGAACGAATGGGAGGGAGAATCACCTGAGGGAACACAGACATCAAAGAAGCCTTTCTCTGCTTCGCTCGCCTGCTTTCCCTCTCATATGCTGACTTCTTTCTGTGCTTCATTTTCTCCTCACACCACACAGCTGATCTGCCTCTTAAACCTTCCTCTCAAGTGATCTGTGGGCAAAGTTAACACTGTCCTCAGCGTCCTTTATCCCACTGATTTAAAAAAATTTGTCTCAGTTAAACTGTCCTCTCCTCTTCAGTCATCCTCCTCTCTCCTCTTCTCGTTTTCCTCCCAAGAGGGCATTCCTCATTTTTTACAGTGAGACAGCTGGAGGGCAGGTCCAGACAGAGCTGTCTGAGAACAGACCCTGAGATTCACTGAGGCCAGCAGGCACAGAAACGCATTAATTTCCTTGACCTGTAACAAATACACAACTCATTAGAGGCTGAATGGAGGCAGAGACGTGGGCGAACAGTATGGAGTAGAGTTCAAAAATCAGCATGGTTCTGCGGTTTATCAGGTTTGTAATGATCACGAAGGCCACTTGCTTAGAGGGAGTGGATGTGTGTGTGTGTGTGTGTGTTCTGTTTAAGACTGATGCATCCATCCACTCTGATGTGCATGTGTGTACTATTTGGGTGACTTTTTGGAACTAGAGATAAAAGAAAAGGCAGAGTTGGCGTTTTATGGTCTTTATGGACCATACAAGTGTTTTTTCTTTATGTTTTAAATCCTGTACCCTCTGCATAGCAGCTAATCATTATGAATTTGCTTTTGCTGTGGAATTCCTCAACATCCACTTCATTTTTGTCTCTTACTGAACATTACTGTGGTGCAAACTGTTGGAAGCAGTAAACTCTTACAGACAAACTCCTTTGATTTTACACAAAGACCTGTATACTCATCATTGTGGAGTACTTCTCAGCCTCTGAAAGCGGCTGCATAATGTCTTCTGTGGTGCTGAAGGATCTTTGTAATGTCTGTGATGATGCCATTATCTCAGCTTGGGTTTAAAGACTACACATTTAAAGCCTGTGTTACAAACTGGGGGCTCAGAGTTTGAAAGGCCTGTGTGTTATTCATACAGGGATGCTCTAACAAAGCAATTCAGGCAGTTTCAGGGTCTTGACTTGATGCTTATTGTGACGAATTACACAACTCAAGAAGTTTGCTAATAGATTTTCATATTGTGCAGAAGTGAAATGTAAAACAGTGGGCACCAGGAACAGAACAAAGAATATTTTTGTAAATCTTTTCTCTTTCCTGTAATTTATCTCACACCCTCTTTCACACTCAGAGATACACTCGCACACTCACAACTAATGCAACTGAAAATTGCTTCTGCAGCCATATACTCCGTCTTTCAGTGCACACATTATTGCTTAAGAGTGGGCTTGAATATATTACATAGAGCAGAGCAAAGAGAATCTGAGAGGAAGGTTCTTTAAATCCAACAGACTGAGAAGCTCTGTCTGTCATGTCATGATGAGAGGGTCAAAGGGTTTCTTCTCAGATGCCTCAGACATGCAAAGGTTGTAGGCTGTAGTACGGAGAGGAGCCCACACAGCGCTAACGTCTCACCTATGTGTGATTTCTGATCTCAGGCTGAGACTGAGAAGAAATTCATTCTCTTAGTTTTCTGGCAGCAAACTCCTGCTGCTCCTTCCCACTGCTCACTCAGTATTTTGTCTTTTCTCACACCCTGTTTCCCGTGTGACTAATTTTCACAAAGATAAACAAAGCACTTGTAACAGGTGTCGAGAGGGTAACTATGTTTTTGGTACAAATGGAACAGATACACACATATTCCCATGTACACTACTAGTCAAAACTGAGTGGGAAAGTGTGTCCAAACCTTTGACTGGTAATGTAGATACACAAGGAATGAAGCACACACACACACACACACACACACACAAATGCCCCGTGGGCAGGAAGTTGCAGCAGGAGGGGAGGAAGTGATTTCGGAGGCTGAACCAGATGCTACAGTTCTCTGCTTTGAAAACATCTCTGGCCAACACATCAGTCTCTCTTTTTGTCTTTTTTTATGACAGCCTGATTATTTATTTCATATCCCTGTCACTGACCAACTACCGCTCTCATCCCTGCATTTCTGTTTTTATTTCTAGCAGAGAGAATGAAATTTGCTATGTGGGGAAAGCCCATTTATTAGGCTTGTCACCTGAGGAAGTGGAGGGACTGAAACCTGTGCCTGGTTCCTCTGTTGGTAAACAAACCCGACAGTGTTCATATTGCATTTAGATGTGTTAGTTCTGTTATGCAAAGGAGAATGGGTTGGCAGTTTTTTTGGTGCATGCTGTGTTGGAGAGGTTAAGGGTGAAACAAACACCAGGAAACTGTTATCAGATCCAAGGCACAGAGTTACAGAAGCAAGTTGAGGCACCACACAGAGCGAAAACAGAAACTCTTAAATGTTATGTGAGGTTGACTCTGAGCTTTGTTGCTGATAACTGAGAACGTGCAATAAAATAATTACAGTATAATGTATAAATGTGCATAGTGTTGGGTGAAGGCAGGCCAGGGTGTTAAGGTAACGTGCTAAACCAGAGAAGAATGTGTTACACAGATTTAGGGTTGAGCTATGCTTGAACAAAGCTGAAAACCCAGCCGTCATGGAGAGGAGTGAGAGGTGATGCCTTTGAACGTGGGTATAATGGTGCACATAGAAGGTGTTGCAGTGAGTTGTTCACATGGAAAGTTACAAAATAGTTAGATGAAAAGATTTGCAAGGAAGCATAACAGGATCCAAACTAGGGCTGCACGATTACGATAAAAATCATAATCATGATTATTTTGGCTATGATTATTTAACACTCACAGACTTCATATCATACTTAAAAAGTACCTTGTCTTTTAACAATGGGTTTTGTGAACTTTAAATATGATTCAACTGAAAAACAAATGAAGTACTCACACAGGCTAAGTCCATACCAGGATGTGCAGGCAGGACCTCCACCTATCAAACAGGATGTGTACTAAAAGAATTTCCCAACCTGTGTTTGCATGGTTACAAAACTGATAAAGCTGCGAGCACACCTTTAATGCGATACCATATTTATTTGAAGAGTTAAGGTTTCATATAATGACTCAATCAAGATTTTCTGTAATTGAAAGGATGATCCTCACATTTTGCCCCAGCACTGATGCACCCACTTCCCCCTGAGCACCCTATCCTCCAACAGGTGGATGTGGAAGTTTATCAGATCTTAAAGGAATCGTTTGACAGTTTGGTAGATAAGCCTATTTGCTTTCTTGCCTAGAGTTAAGTAGATGAACATTAAGTATTTACCTGGAGCCAGGAGGCAGTTTATCTTGGCATGAACTCTGCAAACACGAGGGAACAGCTAGCTAGCCAAAACAACAACGTGCTGATTTTACACTTTGGTTTTTGAACAGATTGCTTTATGTCTTTATGTTAAGCCAAAATCTCCTAGCATCGTCTTCATATTTGACCGATTGTAACCCTTCTGATTTTGTTTGGCATCCTCTGAGGGATTCCAAAACCTAGGATGCGAGCCACTGGTCTAGATGAGTAATGTGTTTTGAATATATCTTTTGACTTTGCTTTCCATTTGAGAGAAAATCTATTTACAAATGCTGCCTTTGTATCAGTCATTAGTTATGCTTCATGATAAATGTAATGGTTTTAAATAGGCACAGGAATAATTTTTGATCTTTCTAAAAAGAGAGAATGTATCTCAGGAGACACTATGGTTAAATAAAAGTGAGATGAAGAGCAGTCTGGCAGTATGGCACTACATTAACAAACTGTATACTATATATACTGCAGGTATATTAGATAAATGTGTCCCAGTTGCTTTGCTCTGAATCTACTGAACACACACTCACACTCGTGCACATGTGTCATTGTCACAAGTGTTATTCTTTTCCAGGACCTGACACCCTGGAGGAATGCCTAGTTTGGCAGAGGTAGATAAACTAACATGTCAAAGGAGTCTGGCATGTTTCTGATTAGTTACACATTGAAATGACTAACACTAATGAGACAGTGTTGGTGGAGGCCAAGATGAAAAAATGATTATCTCTCTAATGGCAGTCCTCTCTGTCTCTCTCTTTTCTGTTTTCTTTGTCAGGGTCAAAACAGGAAGAAACCACTACTGACCAGTGAGGCTGCATTTTCTCATGGAACGTAGTGTTTTTTTTTTTTTTTTCTCAGTGCATCAGCCGGCATAACACAGGACACGGTGGAGAGACTGAAAGTCGGAGCACATGCATACAGATGAGTCACATACAGTTTGAGTCAGAGATGATGTCACGGTGTCTGGGAGTCTTCTAGCCGACCGTGGGAGAAAGTAACTTTTATAAGCTCATACATTTACTTTTCCAGTGACAAAACAAGTTGCAGTCTCAAAGAGTGGAGAGGCAATGACCTAATTCAGATTAAATGAACATACACTGATAAGCATCCCGCCTCCTCGCTGGGTGATGGAACGTTATCACAAATGAACTCTTATCATTGAGGCTGGAGTGTGTGAGGTTACATGATATTTCTGTACCAGTGTGTGGATGGCTGTTTAATTCAGAGAAGAGAGTTTTGATGCTACATACAGCGATGCTACGACGTGGACCACTATTCTCGGTACCCTGTGTAGGAGGGATGCTGGTGCTCCTCTGCTCTTCCCTGTCACTGCTCTATATTCTAAACTGCAGGATTACGCAATATAATGGCTCTCCGCTGACTTATCCAATGTCCCTTGCTGGACTCAAACACCCCAGCCTGGGGAGCACAGGGCCAGACATTGGAACTGGTGCTGATGGGACAAGGGGAGCCAGAGCTGGGCCTGCTCAAAGTGGTGGACTACCAAGTGTCCAGTCATACCAGGTGCTCCTCCAAGAACGTGAGGAGCAACACCAACTCCACATTTCCTCCTTGAAAAAAGAGATTTCTCATCTGAAGGAGACTTTGCAGGAGCGCAGCCAGCAACTGAAAGAAGTACAGGACAGCCTAAAGAGATCTGCCCCGGCAGAGCGACAGGAGGCTGGGGCCAGGTCTCAGGGAGGTGGTCTCGAGGAGGCTCAGGGAGTCAAGAGTCAGCAGACAGACCTCCAGGAGTTCCTGAGGAGCCAGCTGTCAAAGGCAGAGGTTACTGTTGGCAGTAGGCTGCCCAATGAGTATGCAGTGGTGCCATTTGAGAGTTTCACCCTGCAGAAGGTGTACCAGCTAGAGATGGGGCTCGGACGTTCCCCTGAGGAGCAGCCAGCAAGGAAGGACAAGAGAGATGAGCTGGGAGAAGTGGTGGAGGTGGCTCTGCATAGCCTCAACACGCCTTCATCACAGGAAAAGCCTGAAAATAGCAAAGTGTACACACCATCTGACTTCATAGAAGGTGAGAACGCATCAAATCTCAACCTTGTCTCCTAGAAATTGTTTCCATACACAATAAATACATTTTTATGTGTTATTAATTCATGTATCTAACACTTCACAGTGTTGATCTTGAACGTAATATTTATTGACAACATATTCTGTTTGCTGAACTTGAAGTAACAATTACTTGGAACTTCACTATTAAACCTTTTCACACCCACAGCGCATGTGTCACACCACAGTTTAACCACTACACGATGCCTTAAACATTTGTTTGGAAAATATGTTGACCTATGTGTGCTGATGCCTAAATCTCAGCCTCTGTCTTTTAGATAATAACATAACATTTGCATCACAAAGTAATTGTGTAAACAGTTAATACTGTAATTTCCTGGAGACATGGTTTATGTGTAGTTTTGTTTTATTTGCAACTTTTTTTTGTATGTCAGAAAACCATACTAACGCTTCTTCTGCTCCTTTGAGTTACTTAGATATTTTGGTGTATGAATCCCTGAAAGGTCATAAACGTGTTTTTGTACAACCAGGATGTCCTTGTAGTTTGTTCCTCTCCGCTCTGATCACAGCTTCAGGAAACGAACTCAGCTGTGCTTCATCCACAGCAGAACATCTCTTCATACGTGGTATCTTAGTGTGTGTATATCTGCTCTTTGAAGGTCACCGTCTTTATCGTGAGTGGGTGGAGGTTTTAAAGTGAGTAATAGAGGCACCTGGCTTGGAGGAAATGAGTTATAGTTCACAGTACATAGCCTCTTACATGTGCACAAGCTGGTGTAATCTTATGGGAGGGTGATTTTAATAGATGCACCTACATTTGTATGTATTCACAAAAGTAGCCTCTAAAATCCTCAATAAGGCAGCAGGAGAGTGCAGCTTGCTCTTAATGAAATAGCAACTCCCTCCTCCTCATATTTTACACTTAATACTCCTTAATGCATTAAGACATCGATTTTAAGCAAACCTTGAACAAGCCAGGCAAGAGAAAGGCAGTCTAGATGGCTAGACTGACAAAAGCATCTTCAGGATCACATTAGCAGACTGGTGAGCTGCAACTGCACACAAACAGTGGATGTATGCAAACTGAGCTGTGTTCTGTTGTGAGAAAGACAGACAGGAAGTGAAGTTGTTTAGTTTAAATTGTCCAACGTACTTATTAAATGGTAGCTTGTCATGTCCCTCCAGGAAACGAAACCTCCCGTCACACAAAGCTGGCCAGATTAACAGGAAGGCCTTAATTCAAGCTGCAAATCTTTTTTTTTGGAAGATAATTTTCTGTTCTCTCGCTCCTTTTTTTGTTGAGAGATTTTTTGGTTTTATGCATGTGTAAGTACATTTACAGCTCTTTACCCAACAGCAGCAGAGTGGATGGACAATTTCTCATGTGGCCTCATATGCTCATAAGACACACCAACGCTCTCCTTAAGTATCGCCCTGATGATTGAGAGCAGGTGTGCCTGGCCTAGATTTTGACTAACTGGGAAAAGCATGATCTTTGGCACCCTGAAATACAGAACTCTCAAGGGCTTCAAACAAAAGCCTCACTGGAGAAAAGAAGAAAAAGTCACACACAGCAAGCACAGAAACTATAATCTAGCCTTAAAGCTCATTACATATAACTGTAATTAAAGAGGCCCATTTTACATCAGTGCAGCTGCGGATTAGCACAAAAACCATATAGGATCACTGTCACTGTATTTTTGTTTGTTGGCCATGAGTTCATGTGTTTGTGTCCCACCTTTCAGGCATCACTCGTACAGAGAGGGACAAAGGGACGCTGTACGAGCTGACATTCAGAGGGGAATCAAATAATGAATTCAGACGCCTGGTACTCTTCCGCCCCTTTGGGCCACTGATGGAGGTAAAAAATGAGAGGGTGGACACGGCCAACGTTCTGATCAACATCATCGTCCCGCTGTCTGGACGCGCAGACAGGTTCAAACAGTTCATGCAGGATTTTAGGTGAGACTCTGTGATTGAACCTTTTTTCACATTCTTGAATTTCTTTTTTGTGCTTCCAGATGTTAATTGCAAGGTCACACAAACAATGAGACCTGCAGTAAACACCACAGTAAATTCTCTTCATCACATATAACCACAAACCCAGTTGTCTGTGCAGATTCTCAGTCATCCAGGTCATAGTAAACTGAAAAAACTTAGAAAAAAAAATCAATTGGACCAAATTTCTAGGTCTTCAACCTAGAAATCTAGTCCACTTGAAACTTGGGTTTGTGAACTTTTTCAGTTCACAAACCCATGAAATGGGGATCAGAGGAAAGAAAATTAACATGGCATGAGAGGGGTGATTTTTCTCTCTGTTTTTTGTTTTTAAGGAACATCAAACTGCACATTTGGTGTTTTTATAGTTAATTCATTTTGGTGCTAGAAGGGATCTTAGATAGATTTAATTAGTTCATACACATTTTAATGCTCTTAACCATTTTAAATATATTATTGCCACATATTATTAGTTCCAGGCTGCTATGTGATAATACTGTGGTCAAATTCTGATGTAAAAAATTCTGGCTTTGTGTTCATAGATCCCTTCAAGATGCAATTAAAGTGAATAACGGTTTTTTAATTCACTGGCAGTTGAAACTCATCAGCCAACAGTAAAATGTGCTTGTTTCAGTTCTGCACTTCGCCACCAGCCTGCTGTCTGTGATTTATGGCGCTACCACTGCTGCTTATCACAGCTCTTTTTACATGGCAAATCCTGCTTAGTAGCAGTGTTGCAGCCCCCCCCCCCCCCCAGGCCGCCACACCACAGAAGTGTACTTATTTGAGAGACTCTGCGAGTCGCTGACTAAACACTTTACCATCATCCATATTAAAGGTCTTCTAGGAGAGTGTGTGTGTTTAGGGGGTTATAACAATGAGTAACTGCATATTTATCAAATGTTCTTTATTCACGTTTAGACAGGCAAATATAAGCATTTCTGATTCCCTGTGATGTGTTTCCCCAGTGCAGAATACAGAGATAAAGCACGACACAAATACAGCAGACATACAAACATTTGGAGTCTGTAAAGAGATTCACTCTTACTACATTATAAAATAATTATAACAGATTCTTTTCTATTCTGTGGTCCCTGGACAAAATGAGGAATGACTGTTTAAGCACCATGTGTTCATCTAGATTAGTTTTATGAGACGTTTTTCCCCACGTGCCTCTGGGGAGGAAAATTCTGACAAATGTGTGTGTGTCCTGTGGGAGAGGAAGCAAATTATCTTCAGCATGTGTGCGATATATTTGACATGTCTCTATCAAAGTGTCTGCAGGCATCTCCCACCTGGTCTCTCCATCTCTGTGCTTTGGTATGGTACCAGAAAGAGGAGAGTCAGGGTTGTGTGTTATGTTTTTGATTATTTCTCCTGTAGTCTATACGTATGTGTCAGATCCAAAGGTAATGTTTTTAATGTACGCTTTGTCCAACTAACATCCTGAAACACAAAGTTTGTCGAATTTATAATGATATAAAACAGAAAATCAGCAAATCCTTACATTTCCGAAGCTAAACCAGCAAATGTTTCAATTTGTCTTGATGATTTAAATGATTACTAAATCACTTATCAGAGCTTCTGTTGGAAACATTGTTTGAGCACTTGAAAGAATTAAACATTCCAACCAAGCCTTTTTAAAGCCCTCACCTGATCACAGTGCTCCTTCTTTCTATAATCCCCCTGCTCAGCTTGAGAACACTTTTATCCATTATGTCCCTTCCTCTCGTGTGTCCGTACAGGGAAGTCTGCGTGCGTCAAGACGGCCGGGTCTATCTAACTGTGGTGTATTTTGGGAAAGAGCACATGAGTGAAGTCCGCAGCACTCTAGAGAACACGCTCAGGTGGGTTGGCACCACAGCCAAAAACAGATCTTTGAATCAGAGGCCAATGCATTTTACAGTATGTAATGAAACAAATGCTGCTGCAGTCATGCACCCGCTTTCAGAGGCAGTCGCTGTAAAAATAGCTTTATTTCCACACATGCACCAGAAAATTCTCCTTTTCATGTTTTATAATCTGTCCCTTTGCATCACAACACATGCAAGACACACACACACACACACACACACAGCTCCTGGCTTGGCGTCTTGCCACAGCCGTTCATCTGTCTGATGAATAATAGAGCAGTGTGCCACCCATGCTGACAAGCTGAGAGCTACCAGCCAACACAGATAAATTACAACAGGCTTGTGATCTTCCCTGACTCATACGGACCTCAACATCCACACCTTTGGAGACCATCGCTGTGTGGCTGATCAGGAGTCAGATCCACTAGGTCACAGATTCCCCGGGGGGGTTGCTATGGTGAAGCTTGTCAATTCCTCATCCCTGAAGGGATTTCTTTTTCTTTATTGTGGCCTTGAAACAGTCAGACTACCTCCAGTACTCCAATATCACACAGCATCTCTTTGTCTCTGTGTCTCCTGCTGCTGTTGCTGAGGGGGAACTGTGGAGACGAAAAAGGCCTTGTTAAATACTCTTAAAGCAAAGTGTCACATGAGGTACAAAGAAGGCAAAAATCTGCAAATGTGGAAAGAAGAACACAGAAACAAACCTGAAATCTTATCATGTGAGAGAATGATTTAAGAAGCGAGAAGGTTTGAAAGTGATACACACTGAATGGAAAACGGTGCAGGTGTAAGTAGGGGTACAGTCAGTGAAAGCGGGGTGCTGATAAAGTTCACTGTCCTGTAATTGCTCTAGGCTTTTTGTACTCTTCTCATAGTCTAACAAGGAATTCATCAGTCATGTAGCAGCTAATCTGGGTGTGAATTGGTGCCTGTAATCAACTCTGTACTCCTCTTTTCTTTTATCTGGCTTTCAGACTGTGGTTGAAATGAATAGAAGCCCTCAGTAAAAGATAAGTACCTGTGGTTCCATTAGCTGAGTCCCCCGACAGACAACAAATACAACAGATGTACAGTATACACACAGATACTATTGCAAACCGCATATAGACTCTTAGTGGAAGGTGCATGCATGTATAGTTGTTTTTTTTGTAGTCCTTCTCAAGTTACCAGATCCTGAAGCACTGTCAAAGCATTGATTTTACATGGAAATCACCTCTGGGGTATTTATTATACATTAAAATATAACAGTCAACAGCCATGCAAGCAGCTATGTGATGCTGTACTGAGCTAAATGATAATGTCAACATGCTGATACTTCTATTTATGACAATTTAAATGTAAATCAGTCCAATAGCTTTTGAGGCACCAGAGGAATATTGAAGAGCACCAAAGTCATTACGATATGTTTACTCCCATTCATGAATATCTGGACAAAGTTTTGCACCTCCTCTCTCCAGCCTGTCCCCAAGCTAGTTCGGTTTGTGTCTGCCCCCAGATAACTTCTAGCTATTTGTCCTTTTTCTAGGCACGATTATCAGCAGCCATTATAAACTCCTTGAGGCAGATTTCCCATGAGTCTAACATGATCTGTTTTGGGTTGGACCTCCACCAAGCTTTCCAACCCCTATCAACATCCTGTGGGTTTTAGTGAGGATTAAAGGTTTGTTTTTTTATCGCAGTCTGGTGTACTGTATATATCAACAGCTAAACTAATACCACAAAAGTCAAATCAAGCAGGAGATGGAAAGGGATCCCCCAACAAATCCAGAGCCTCAGTCTTCAAGCATTTCGGCAGCCACCGGGGATATTTGCTGAACTTTCAAGTATTGCTTACACATCCACACTTCAGAGCTCAGGCTCAAACCATTGGGGGCCATGTATATTCTGAGCCTTACATGCTCAAGAATAACGATTCAAAACAGTGGAGATAAAGAGGAGGAGATACAGATAGAAAAAACGGGGTAGGAGGATGGGAGATTCTGTGTGAAGCAAGGAGAAGAATGAACGATCTGTTCTACAGAGATAGTCTATGTGTATGGATAATTACTGTGCTTCAGACACAGAGGACAGTGAGGAAAACAGTGAGAAAGGAAGTTTATCAGACAGCTTTGAAGATTGGAAGAGAGAGCAAAACTAACTTGGAAAAAGATGTTCTGAGGGTGGAAGAAGAGCATTAACAAGGAAACTAGATGTACAGCCTTTCTCTCATCTTTGTCTTGCATCAACTTGCGACAGTGTCTTCATGTTGTGGCATTTCGTTCAGATCGCAGGTGGGTCAGCAACTCTGACAGCTCAGAGGAAGCAAGAGAATAATGAGGAAGCAGAAGGTGATTGAGAGAAGATTATGAATGCATATAAATCACAGACCAGTCAGGAAACTGTACAATATTCATCTTAGAGAGTATGTCAGACACATCCTACAAATTATTCAATGTTAATAGCTCATGTTGCTGCAATCACAACAAGGCTACAGTTTTATAGCTTGCACTTACCTTTCCATTACAGACTGCTGAATCCCCAGCTCACTGTAGAGGATGCTTTTTTTATTGTCATCCACACAATAGTCCAGAGGAGTCTCTGTTCTGTAAACAGCAGACAGACAAAAGGAAAATGTGTTGATTAAAAAGTACTGTAGGCAAAAGGCAGAATAGAGCTACTGATCAGAAAAGAAAGGCATGTTGAGGAAGTGGAAGTAGCTCAGCTTTTTTGGTTGAAATGTCTATATATGCCATAAAAACTACTCTAAGCTCTATAAACCCTGTAAGACTCTACAGCCATGCTAGCTGGTGTATGAGGCTGTACTTGGGCACAGTGGTGCTTTGAGCAAAACACTAACAGGATGTTAACATGTTCATAATGTCGATGCTGACATGCACTGTGTACCACGTTCATGTTAGCCTTTCTATAAATGATTTTTATGCATCAAATTGCTGAGCAATATAGTGATGCAATACGGAACAAAATGGTTAAAGCCTTGTCAGTTGTGTTTAATGTAGATCTTAATGACTGATAATGGGAACTCTGTCAAGGTTCAGGCTAGGGAAGGGCCCAAATGCAAACACAGACTGAAGTACAGTATTTAGTTTGTACTAGTCTCTTTATTTTCATACAAGGGATACAGAACAAATTGTGCAACCTGATAAGTCAACAAAGACGTTTACAGAAAACAGATTAGTTGAGAAAGCTGCGATGACAGACTAAGTTCAAAATCAACATAGTCCAAAACCTTGAGAGGCAAATAGAAGAACAGGATCAAGGAGGATGTGGTGAGCACATGAACCAGTAAACAATTGAGGGAGGTTAGGAGAATCTAAAGGCTTGAGACATCCAGACAATAAGCAACAGGTGAAAGCAATGAGTGTTAATCAATGACCAGCATAAAGCTGAGCCTGTCAGAAATGGTGCGTAATGCGGCCAAAAAGTGTTAGGTGAACTAAATTAAATGGCCAGACGAGGAAGTGTAAAACAAAACCGTGTCTTTATTAAGAGAACTAACGTTGAACAAAAGAAAACCATACAAGACACGGTGAAAACACAAAACTCACATGTCCTTAACAGTCCGAGGTCAGAGCCAGCAAACACATCCAACAGAGGTGATCCAAAATACGTAGTTCAGAGGGAAGTCCGATATCATACACTGTGTCCGAGACAAGAGGGCAAAGCAGAAACGAATATACCAAGGTAACAGTCCGGGTCAGAAACACAAAATACCCAAACCGAAGAAAATGCTGGAAAGTCAGAGCTGGGGTCTAGAACAATCCGGCAGCGTCCTGATGGGAGGACGCTGCCTATATAGAGGTGCAAACAGGTGCAAACAATAACGAAGCAGGTGAAACTAATGTGAGTGATGAATGTAAAAAGACCGAAACTAAGGTGAAACAAAAACAGAAAGTAACGTCAAAATAAAAGCAGGACGGGAAGCAGCGGAACCGAATCATGACAGAGCTAGGTGAGATGACAAAAACAGGAAACTCTTACAAAAGTCCCAAACAGGAAACAAGTCCAAAACCCTAACAGACTCAACTCAAACTCAACTTGACTCGGTCTTGACTCTGACTCGAACACCGGGTACTTGAGACTCAACTTGGACTTGAGATTTACTCGACTACAACATTGCTTCACTGGTATCTTAGAAATCTGTTGAGGCTGGCAGGAGACCAGGATATTTCTGCATAGTATAGGGGCTTACACATCACACGTCTCACTCAGTAAGCTTCATGCCTGCCGTGAGTCCTCTGGTTATAATCAGACACAAGCAAATACATAAAATGGTTACACAGAGGCACAGAGAGATAAAACGACACAGAAAAAAATCTGGTCTCCCCTCGCTGTACTGAGCAGAACTAATAGAATCAGGTCTGCTACTGAGGCACAACATGACAGCTCTTTACAGGCTTCTCACTGGCACAATGATTTAGAGGCTACTAGGTACCAGCCACCATGCCTATGGTAAACGAATTGACTATTTTAGGTCATAATATGGGTGCTGATGCCTGTGGGGAATAAAGAAGGAAAAGAACATGATATAAAAGGTCATTTAGAAAACAAGCATATCACAGGATTGAAGTGGACTTTCCTGTTCCACAGACAGTAGTGGTACCTTTCTGTCTGTGAGAATTATTTAAATATCTGATGCACTCAGGCCAGCACACACACTCATCAGGATGAATAATAGATCAACCTTGGCGCTCTTGAAACAGAGACAATTACACTGGTAATGGTAATCACAAAATTATTACCACCAAAAACAGTTAATGACTTTTTTTATGACTACATGTTGCTGAAAAGGCACAGCTGCATTTGTGACTGATTGCAGTAGATTTGTGTCTGTACATTTAATATTGTAGTTCAATGAAATTCTGTATATTAGGTGAGAAATAGTGGCTCTCAGTACAGATTTGCATGCATTTTGTTTCCCTCCATTACAAGCTACAGTGAATTTAAAAGTATCTGATTCTTTAGAGCCCAGACTGAGACACAAGCATGCAAATGTACAACTGTTCTCACTGTCTCAATTTGCCTGAATTAAGTAGTGCAATATATTTGCTTCTTCAGTCACTGAGACTCTCCTCTTGGAAATGTACAGTTTTCTCTTTTCATCTCTGACAAATGAGCTTCTTGTCCCATTAAGGCTGAGAGTGAATCAAACTGAATGTAGCTGGTGTTGCGTTAACATTGTGAAACAGAGCTCTTGTGCTCTGCCTGTGCCATCTGTGGACAGTTTAGTGCCAGCGGGTGGACTCCACCTCTCCTGGGACTCTCTGCAGACACACGTGGAGACTATGTGCACTGACATACAGACACACACAGGTATATAAAGATAGAGCCACAGTTTATCTCTGAATTTTTAACACAACATTTGAAGTCACCAGATATTTTTGAGATGTGAATACTTTGTTTTTGCCGGTCAAGTGGAATTCAGACAGACAAATTGGATGCTTCTAAGTGGCATCCTGTTTCTGTTTTTCAGGATAAGGTTTGATTATGTCTTACTTATGAGAGAGGCTGAACATATGACAGCAAGACAAAGGCTATACACATGAATGAATCTACTAATACACACTGTTCACTGACACAAACCCAGATAGTAGTGAGATGGAAATGTGGAGAACATGATTCAAACTGCCTCAGGCAAAAACAACCTGATAATGTTTCCTCTGGTCTTCCTGGTTTTCTCTGACAAAGCTGTGTATATTTGTTTCTTTCTACCTGCTGGCTTTGTCTACTGTTTGCCATGTACGATAGTATTTCACCCAGCATCACAAGAATAATGGAGGAGGTATGATCCTATTTATTCTGCTTTGGGCAGAGATGTGTGAACCGGTTTTTCCTCAGTATCCTCCATCTGAATCAGTGCAAGTGTGTATGTGCATGCATGAGTAAAGCATTAGTCACTAACAGGGCGAATTGTTATGGCTGAGGAAAAAGCTGCAGCTGTGTACATCTGGATCCAGCTGTTTCTCTTTACCCCCACCACATCTTTGAAAAACTTCAGGCCACGATGGAGGAAGTTTTGTTATCCCATGCAGTTAATTTTCAGTTCCAGTTCAAGCTTGTTTGTATCAGGGCCAGAATCAGAGAGAGAACAGCAGGAGCTCTTGAACATGATGGAGAAGTGAAGTGAAGTCCTTCCACAAACATTTGTGCTGATGTGAGCTTTTAAATTGGCTTTATGAGATCATTATGTTTTAATTTTTGGGTGGAAAATATTACAAGCAGAAAATAGATGATTAATAGAGCCACACTGACCCACTACAGAAGACCAGGACAAAACTATCTCATGGGCCCCTCCCACGATGTTTCCTTTTCACACAGTAACTTCATTATATTTTTGCATAAGACACTAAGCAGGGGGCAACTCGTGCTCTGGAAAACTATCTGTCTCTGTGTGTGTCATGCTGTTAGTTTGTGGTCATTTGATTAAACTGTTTTATTTCAGATTTGGCTCCATTTGAGAACAGTATGATCTGAAATGATCTGTTTCAGTTCACAGTATATTGTTATTTAGTGGTGCATATTCCCAAACATATCTGGCAAAGTGATTAAATTACCACATTGACAATAAACTGCCACAGAGTGAATGTGAGGCCCCGGAGCATGATGACTGTTTGGCTGCAGATGGGGCGTGGCAGTGTTAGATGAATGAAGTGTCAAATGGACTTGAAACCGTCTGTCAGCACCAGACCTGCATGACTGATTTTTGTTATTCATATTAGAATTTCAGTTTTTGAACCATTTCAACCAACATATTCAATCATAATTAACAACTTGTGTATGTTTCTGTTCATTAATTATTATTTGTCATTTTATTTCAATTCCTTCAGTTAATTTCAGTTAATTTGTTTAAGCTGTTTCCAAAACTTATCAGTAAATCAAATTTGTTTTGTATAAAATCTTTCAACCACAGAGGTAATTCAAAGCTCATTACACAGGACAAAGAAATGCTTTAGAACAATTGTTGAAAACACAATGAAAGAAAGAAAGGGAAAATTAAATCAATTAAAAGAGAATAGAATTAGATGTAAAAACTTTTTTTGGTCATTCTATTAGAAAACTGAATTCATGTTCTGTCTAACCACTGTCTTTCTCTCTGCGTCGCTGCAGGGAAGTTAATTTTAAAAACTACACTCTGCTGCAGCTGGACGGGGAGTTTTCTCGGGGACGAGGTCTAGACTTCGGAGTCCGAGAGTGGAAAGGAGGCAATGTGCTTATTTTCTTTTGCGACGTGGACATCTACTTCACCGCTGACTTTCTCAACACCTGTAGACTCAACACAGAGCCAGGTGAGAGACACACACACACACAGACACAGATATTCTTATCAAATCACATCCTAGTTTTCTGACACCATTGTTTCTCTCCCTCACAGGTAAAAAAGTGTACTACCCTGTGTTATTCAGCCAGTATAATCCCGCTGTGATCTATGGGTCCCCTGCAAACATCCCACCTGTGAAGCAGCAGTTGGTAATACACACCAATTCAAATCCACTTTATCCCTTTCCTGTTTCGAAGAGTTTGAAAGCCACTTGTGGAAAGTATAAAATTCAGTTCAGTGATGCATTGCTGTATTTCCCTGCTCCAGGTGATCAGGAGAGACACAGGGTTCTGGAGGGATTTTGGTTTCGGCATGACCTGTCAATACAGCTCTGACTACATCAACATAGGTAAATATTACATAACAACACAACATGCTCTGCAGTCATACCCATCACAACATTTTAGCAATACAAGAATTTATAAACGATTCCTCTTGGGGGTTGATTATCGTTGCAGAGGCATTACATAATGCTCTATGTTATTGGTGCCGTAGTTTAATGGCTATTTAAAAACATCTGAAAATAAAGAGTTCACTATTACATCATTTTCTTAACTTGGGATGGGATTTTTTTCTTATATTTCTCCATATGTAATTGCTCTGAGCAGCAGCAAAAGCATATATTTGTGTATTCCATAGCCCCATGTCCCCTCCATCTGTATATTGATATGAGAAGTATTTTCCCTCAAGACAGTTACATCAGTTTAGTTTCCCTTTAGAGTGAAGTCAGTTAGAGGCTAGGGTGAAATTCAATGTTTTATTGTTTAGGGCCCAGACACACACGGGCACACAGACGCCCTCAGCCAACTGTGCAAAAGTGTTGAACGGCTCCAGAAGGTTGTTCTAAAAAAATCCTTTGGGCCAGTTATGTTTTTTACTCTCCAACCGAGAGTTCTATACAAGCACATGTACAGTATTTATATACAGTGCCTTGCGAAAGTATTCGGCCCCCTTGAACTTTGCGACCTTTTGCCACATTTCAGGCTTCAAACATAAAGATATAAAACTGTAATTTTTTGTGAAGAATCAACAACAAGTGGGACACAATCATGAAGTGGAACAAAATTTATTGGATATTTCAAACTTTTTTAACAAATAAAAAACTGAAAAATTGGGCGTGCAAAATTATTCAGCCCCCTTAAGTTAATACTTTGTAGCGCCACCTTTTGCTGCGATTACAGCTGTAAGTCACTTGGGGTATGTCTCTATCAGTTTTGCACATCAAGAGACTTAAATTTTGCCCATTCCTCCTTGCAAAACAGCTCGAGCTCAGTGAGGTTGGATAGAGAGCGTTTGTGAACAGCAGTTTTCAGTTCTTTCCACAGATTCTCGAGTGGATTCAGGTCTGGACTTTGACTTGGCCATTCTAACACCTGGATATGTTTAGTTTTGAACCATTCCATTGTAGATTTTGCTTTATGTTTTGGATCAGTGTCTTGTTGGAAGACAAATCTCCGTCCCAGTCTCAGGTCTTTTGCAGACTCCATCAGGTTTCCTTCCAGAATGGTCCTGCATTTGGCTCCATCCATCTTCCCATCAATTTTAACCACCTTCCCTGTCCCTGCTGAAGAAAAGCAGGCCCAAACCATGATGATGCCACCACCATGTTTGACAGTGGGGATGGTGTGTTCAGGGTGATGAGCTGTGTTGCTTTTACGCCAAACATAACGTTTTGCATTGTTGCCAAAAAGTTCAATTTTGGTTTCATCTGACCAGAGCACCTTCTTCCACATGTTTGGTGTGTCTCCCAGGTGGCTTGTGGCAAACTTTAAACGACACTTTTTATGGATATCTTTAAGAAATGGCTTTCTTCTTGCCACTCTTCCATAAAGGCCAGATTTGTGCAGTATACGACTGATTGTTGTCCTATGGACAGAGTCTCCCACCTCAGCTGTAGATCTCTGCAGTTCATCCAGAGTGATCATGGGCCTCTTGGCTGCATCTCTGATCAGTCTTCTCCTTGTATGAGCTGAAAGTTTAGAGGGACGGCCAGGTCTTGGTAGATTTGCAGTGGTCTGATACTCCTTCCATTTCAATATTATCGCTTGCACAGTGCTCCTTGGGATGTTTAAAGCTTGGGAAATCTTTTTGTATCCAAATCCGGCTTTAAACTTCTCCACAACAGTATCTCGGACCTGCCTGGTGTGTTCCTTGTTCTTCATGATGCTCTCTGCGCTTTAAACGGACCTCTGAGACTATCACAGTGCAGGTGCATTTATACGGAGACTTGATTACACACAGGTGGATTCTATTTATCATCATTAGTCATTTAGGTCAACATTGGATCATTCAGAGATCCTCACTGAACTTCTGGAGAGAGTTTGCTGCACTGAAAGTAAAGGGGCTGAATAATTTTGCACGCCCAATTATTCAGTTTTTTATTTGTTAAAAAAGTTTGAAATATCCAATAAATTTCATTCCACTTCATGATTGTGTCCCACTTGTTGTTGATTCTTCACAAAAAATTACAGTTTTATATCTTTATGTTTGAAGCCTGAAATGTGGCAAAAGGTCGCAAAGTTCAAGGGGGCCGAATACTTTCGCAAGGCACTGTATATCTATATGTCTGTCATATTGTTTTCATGTTTGTATGTTTGATTTAATATAATTACATGACTTGTAGTAATTTTTTCTATGGACTTTTAACACCAACATTAACGCCAGAGAGAGTGTTTGTTTTCCCTGTCTACAGATGGTCAACACTGGGCTCTTTTAACCCTGACAATGTAGGTCCCCTAGCCTTAATTATGTCATAACCCAAAGCATGATCTTTCCCTGACCATGTATTAATTGTGTCTAACCTTACCTAAAGCAGCATCACATAAGAAAACTCTTTTATTTTTTAAATATTGATTTGTAATTGTTTTGGATGGCACTGATAAAAATATCTTCCTACAGATAGTCACATGTAATGAGAAAACACTATATGTGTCATTCCAGAGGGCATGGGCAAGCAGCGTGCTTTATTTTGTAATTTAGAGGACCTATGTTTCTTTAATTTGTTTAAGCAATTATGACGACATGTATAAGATATTAGTTGTTAATCAGTGAGTTTTAGAGGTGATGGTAGGTAGATTTTGTTACCTTTATGCAGTTCCAGGACAACTGTGTACCCGTTTCCACTCATCATGCTAAGCTAGGTAACCAGCGGCTGGAAGTAGCTTTTACACACCAAAAAGACAGGCATCCATCTTCTCCTCTAACTCTTGGCCAGATAGGTAATAAGTATATTTCCCCAAATGTTCACTTATTCTTTTTTATGTTTTTCAGAAATTACAGTGGGTTATATTTTTGAGTGAATATACACAAACAATTTCTCTGTTGGCTTCAAATTCCTGTCCTATCTCTGTTAATTCCTGGGGCATTTATTGAAAATTGGGAGCTACTGAAAGAGAAAGAATAATCAAAATAAAACAGCAGAAAGACACAAAGTGTGAGCTCAAGCAGACATGAGTATGTGTTTCACATGGCTAAAGATGCGGGTTTAAACAGGCCTGGTCAAGAATTGTTTTACTGTACACAACACGTGTCCAATATGTCCTCATCGCCCCCTCATGAAATTACAAACCAAGCAGTGTGGAGAGAAAAGTGATTGTAATCACATGCTGTAAGCTCTAATCAGGATTCATAATCAGTATTCATTTAAGACGTATTGAGCACAGCTCTGAAAACATACACTGCTGAGAAATGTTTGAAATGTCTGCTCCACGTACAATCAGTAATTATATAATGAAAAGTTTACAATATATTCTTGTTGTGTTCTCTTGTCTCCAGGAGGTTTTGACACTAATATAAAAGGGTGGGGAGGTGAAGATGTCTACCTGTACAGAAAGTACATCCATAGCAACCTGCTGGTGGTCCGAGCACCAACGCGAGACATGTTCCACCTGTGGCACGAGAAGATTTGTGCTGACGAGCTCTCTCCAGGCCAGTACAACTCGTGCATACAGTCGAAGGTCATGAACGAGGCCTCGCACAGCCAGCTGGGGATGCGCTTATTCAGGAATGAGATTGAAGCTCACTTCAACAAAAAGAAGATGAAGGGTTAAATTCAGATCCTAAGTAGACATGAAATCGTAAAGTTGGTTGCATTATGATTGTCACAATGACTGCAGGCTGTTAAAACAGAGCCAATGATTTCAGCTGACCTGAACTACATCAGACTACAAAATAGGCTTTGTTTGCTTTTTTGTGGAGACATAGATGAAAAGATTGATACTGTTTTCTTGTACAGTATGTGCTACTAAATATGGAGCTAGTACCATTTGGCAATTAGCTTAGCTCAGTATGAAGACTGGAAACATGGCCAAAATTGTCAAGAAATAGAAAGAACTGGACGTGGAGGGAAACAGTCCTGAATTGTTAAGCATTTAGGTATAATCAGGAAAATGTACTTAAAGTATTACAAGTATTTAAAGTAAAGTAAATGTTAAATACATTTTAAATGTAACTGCAAAAGACAGTAGAAAAATGGCCCCTGTGGTTCATAAATATATAAGTACATTATTATTTCTCTTGCATCAATGTGTACACAGCATTTTAGAGAGTGGAACTTATTTTCTCATTTAACTCTCAGCAAGAAAGTAAATACATGTAGTTTACTAAATGTTTTCCTTTAGCGAAAAATGTGAAGACCTTTACTTTTCAAGCACCCAGAAGACTTTGTTGATGTACCTGCTGGAATAATTAATTTACTGAACCTTAGTAGACCTTGGGTTTCTCTAACTCTCTGATACATTGACCTTTAGTTCCCATTTGTATAATCCTTTGTAACTACAGCAAGGACTTTAAGAAACATAGAGCCTAATTTTGAGCTATAACAACTTTCTGACCTATGTGCCTTTTAAGAATAAAACAAATACTGTCAGGATGGCCAGTGGATATTAAACCAGCCTGCAGACTTTTATATGTAAGCTAACAGAGCCATCTAGTGGACTAAACATGAACAACAAGGTTGGTGAATAGACAGAGAAGGAAGGACCTTTTATAAGCCTTTTATAGGCCTTGTAAAACATTTTTAATATAAATTATTAAACTAAAATCTTTATTTATTAAGGGTCCAAGCAACAACTAAAAGCGGTTCTGCAGACTAAACCGTGCACATGCTCACACAAATAATGGCCCCAGAAAAAATGGCCCATGCCGACCATAAAGGGGCGCTGTAATAAACATAAACGTGTTTTGTTTCATAAGTCGCCAACTGTAGGCACATTCAAAAATATCTAACTTTACATCTTTATATCTATGTCCTGCATCTGCTGGTATAGGCCACACCCATTTCCACCATTTTTTGTTTGTTTTGTTTTTGTGCAAATTGGACAAATTTGCAAATTCAGCTTTGCATACTAGGCTGTGGTTCTTCAACTCAGGATGGCAAACTTGGTGTCAAAACATTCACTGGAGCCTTGTTGTCAGTAATTATTTTGTACAGTTTTGATTTTATGCTTTTGTGCTTAGACACGTGAGGTTGAACGTTGATGACACAGTGTCTATATTTTATAAACTAATGGAACAACTGAGTTTTGTTTTTGGCAAATTTGGGAAAGGGGGCCGTGTGTTAAGCTCTGTTGGTGAATGTGCTTGGCTTTTTGATTGCCTTGGGGCAGTGATGCTCAGAGTCTGACTTGCGCTCAGGTGCTTGGAACTGATTATATTTGCTTGCAAATCTAGTTTATGTCTGTCATTATTTTGTTAATCCCAATATTTGTACTTTTATTATTTCAGTTTTTCTCATTTCAAATGCAGTTGTTGCTTGTACAGCCCTGTGTGGGTTCACCTCTTTACTGAAGCAAGAATGAGCCAAAGAAAAACATGCCATACATTGCAGTAACTATAGGTATTTGTCAGTAAAATGTATTTAAATGCTTAATTGAAATGACAAAACATTATGTAGACTAATTAGTATTTTTGCCACATATCTTATCTATGGACATAAAGAACAGAAGGAAACTTTACTGACAGTCAGTTATATTGTTCACTGTCCTGATAATGACGATGACTTAACAAGTCTGAATGAGACTATTGATCTTAATATTTTTGTTTCCGTTAATCAAATGTGACTCTTGTGTTATACATATACACTTAATTCCAGAGTGCAATAATAAAGACAAAATGTAACATTACATGGATCATTGAGCAGTCACAGAAACTGGAGATGTTATAGTATAAAACCATCTTCATCAACTACCTTGATGGTTAATTTATGTTTGTGTTAATAGAGTTTCCCATAGAGACATTGTTCTGTCTTAAAATCTTGCGCCAGCACTTCTTCTGACCTTTTGATGTAATGAAAGCAATTTTTTTGTGAGTGACCAAAGATGTAAAAAGAGGTACTTTTTGAATCATATTTTTATTATTTATCACTGAAACATTCCTTGTAATAATAAATCAAATTACTTCCTTTATGTTTAGTCATTTTTTTTTCACTTCAAGTAAATGAGCTGAATAAAACTATATTTGTGTATTATGTATATTTTGCTATGATGTGGCTACTTATGTTATGCCATCTCCTGTAATTATTAAGTTTTGTCTGACTACAAGATGAAGGTACTCCACTGATTAAACATGTCTGAAGTTGTATGATGGACAAAACTGACGCAACGGAACCAGAGATATTGTAGTTTTTATTCTACTCGTTATTCTTACCTGTTAACACAGGGCGCATACATCACCCACAATGCAACACGCATAGCTCCACTTGTGGCGCTAAATAAGACTCAGGTGTGTATCAAAACAAAGATGGCGGCTCGAGGATAAACCGGATGGGAAATCAAATGGGCTATAAATGTTTTTTTAATGTAACGGGCGAGATGTGTTTTATCCGTACGTGTAGAGGAATCATCCCATTAGCGGTAAGCGTGTTTACACGACACTGCAGAATTATTAACTTTTAGAGAAGCCGACGGTTAGGTCTACTTCTGGGACCTGTATGCTAGCTAATACACCAGGGACACAACCTGCGACTAAATGAGCATTACATTAATTGTGGTTCCACACAAGAAGAAAAATCACTCATAGGAACCATTTATATATCTTACTGCATCTACAGTGTATATTATTATCTGAAAGTAATGATAGCTGTTCCTTTTAGAGAGTTATAGCAGAATTTTTAAAATAGTATTGACAGTATTAATAACAATTTGTATTGGGTATGGTAGGCTTACCTCATGATAAATACATCTAGGCTACTTCTTGTCCCTCAATGAAAAGTCCAGAAGTTGTGACTATCTAAATGTTTGTTTCCAACATAGTTCATTTTCATGTTTGTCTGCTTGTGGAAATTTGATTATTCTTGTAAATAGATTAGGCTACAGGTGAATGTGTAAAGATTGTAATATTCAAACAAAATACACAGAGGAGCTATGTGAAGGATGTGAACTATTATTTCTTGGTTTGCATCACAATTTCAAGAATTGTTTTAATATGTTATTGGTGTAATTTAACTTCCAGACCATTAGATGGGGCCAGTCAACTAATTACAATGCTGTGATTATTGTTGAAGTACTTTGATTTGATTTGATTTGATTTGATTTATTCTTTCAAGCATATAAAACAGTTGATATAACAACACCCATTTTTACACACAATCCAATATCAATTTGATTATACCTAGTACATGCTTGAATGGAGTAGGAAGAAGTCAGACTTATCCAGTCCTACCCCATGACATCATCTTACCATCATTGGTTTGCAAGCAGTAAATGATTCACTTCTACACACACACACACATTATACTAAAAAAAGAATATAACAGTGTTAACATTCTTAAATCACACAATTGATATACTAAAGAATTGTTACAAAATATAATCATTGAGCCTGTTCTTGCATATATCTTGATTGACACATACCTTTATATTTACGTTTGAACTCGTCAATTCTATTACTGTTTTTTATGTCCACACTTAAATTATTCCATAGTTTTACCCCACTTATGGAAATACAAAATCATTTTTTGGTTGCACGTGTAGCATGCACTTTTAAATTTAACTGACCCCTTAAATTATATCCCCCTTCCCTTTCATTAAATAGTTTTTGAATTCCACCAGGTAATAAATTGTTCCTGGCTTTATACATAAACACAGCAGTCTTATATCCCACTAAATCAAAAAATTTTAACAATTTAGACTGTATGAAAGCTCCATTGGTGTGATCCCTATACCCCATCTTATGCACAATTCTTATCGCTCTTTTTTGTAATATATACAATGGTTGAAGTGAGCTTTTGTATGTATTTCCCCAGTTTTCAACGCCATACTCCAAGTATGGTAAAATCAATGAAGAATACAAAATGCGTAGTGCTTTCCCATCCAAAATATATCTAACCCTTGCCAATATCGATATATTTTTTGCTATTTTGTGCTGAACATATCTGATATGAGATTTCCAGGAGAATTTGTCATCAACTATGACACCTAGAAATTTAATTTCATATACTCGTTCTATATTAGCTCCCCCAATTTTCAATTGAAGTTCATTATCTAGTCTACGATTCCCAAATACCATAAATTTAGTTTTATCCAAATTCAGAGATACTATATTACTGTCACACCATTTCTTTATCTTCTCAAGTTCCTGTGAAACCCATCCAGAGAGTTGCTGTAGGTTTTCACCCGATGCCCAAATGGTAGTGTCATCAGCAAACAAAACCACTTTCACTAAATCAGAAACATTGCATATATCATTAATGTATAATATAAATAATTTAGGTCCCAAAACAGAACCCTGAGGCACTCCACACACAATATCCAGCTCACTCGATTGGTATTCACCCAACTTCACAAATTGACGCCTCTGTGTCAAATAACTTCTAATCCATTTCAGAACCATTCCTCTGATCCCATATTTGTTTCCTCTCTGTTCCTAAAGCATATGTACCATGGGGCTGTCTCAATAATCAAATACTGAGATTAATATACATTGACTAATGGGGCAAACATTACATTGTTCGATGAATTTATATAAAGTATAAAACTTTTTTTTATCTGTATGTTTCACTTTAGCCCAGTTTTCTGTTGGACTCTGGGGTGACTTTTTGTAATCCCCTGGTTGATGAATGTTTCCTGTGCAGGCAATTTCAATAGATTATATCTAATGTCTATCATGGAGTTTCCAGATGTTAAACAGTCACTATGACATATTTGAAAAGAAAAATGGCTCTGATTTAAACATTTACATCTTATAAATACTTTGAAATATACAAGATGCACATTTGGGAGCTTATTTTTACTTCAGTTAGGTGCTGTAATAATTGAGAAATGGGGTCTCATTCTGCAAGCTGGTATCTAAGGTAATTTACTTGTTTACCTACTTTTCCCTTTTACTTTTCGTACTTTATATTTTGATCCTAATACTTTTGCACTTTTACATATGTAACGATTTGAATGCAGGACCTACTTGTAACAGAGTATTTTTACACTGTATGCTACTGTTAAATAAGCAAACAATCTGAGTACTTCTTCCACCACTGTGAAATACTTAAAGTACTAAAAGTAAAGGTAGTCATTATGCAGAGTGCAGAATATCATAATATATATTATACTTTTAGATTATAGTGATTGCTGCATTGTTGTGTTCATCATATTTAATGTCGCAGTTAATAAAGGTGGGGCTAATGTTAGTTACCCTATTGCCTATACTTAATTTTAAGTATTTTATATATTGCTGGGTATCGTGTGAATATCTCATCTATGATCAGTAAAGTCTTATGGTTGTACTATATTTTGTTTTATTCATCTAAACCTGAAACATAACTTAAATATATGTAGTAAAAAGTAAAATAGTTGCATCTGAAATGTAGTGAAGTCGTAGTAAGAAGCAGTAAAAAACTAAAATACTACAAATACCTCAAAGTTGTTATTGGGTAAATGGACTTGGTTACTTTCCATATACTGTAAAAATCACTATAGCTTACATGTCCTGTGTTACTCTTAAACAACTAAAGACTGTTTAAAACTGGGCTGCTGATTTCTGAAACCTATGAGTTGTTGGTTAACTTCAGTGTAAACAAATAAGGTTTTCACTTTTCTTTCAGGGGTGGTGGCGGAGGAATCACTGATCAGTTACTGGCGAAGCTACAAATGAGGCTGATACTGATATGTCCGATACTCCACTGGCACTTGAAAGCAGCAGCAGGCCAGTCGCTCCGGGCGCTGTCGGAGCTTTTCGGATCCGTCGAAGTGCTCGAAGTGTTCGTGTGCCAACGGCTACAAACATCGGCACCGGACAGGTGTCAGTGCACATGAACTGCTGTCCGTGAGAGTGGGTGTTAGCGTTCTTTAAAAACCTCAAAACCGCTTTACAGTCACCATAATGGCAGAGATGAGCAGTCGACTGTGCTGCAGTTCGCCATCCAGCTACAACAGCAGGACGACGCGTTTCTCCTCCTAATAACTTGCTTTGCTGCGGCCCGAGCAGTTTGTTCTTCTGAGGGCGTCGACGTTTCTTACATTGTGTTCTTCTATTATTTGCTGTTTCTCTCACTCGATCGGAAACGGCAGCAGCGACGTCTCAAGGAGGAGCATCCCCCTGGTGTTTATTACAGGAGGGGACGCACAACAAACCAGGGACTCGACGCACATACAGTCAGGAGCAAACATGTTCGAGACCAGAGGAATCCCCTTTGTCCTGTTGGACATAGCCTGTCTGATTCTAGGTATGTGTTTAAATGGCTTTCACTGACTTCGTTTGCATGTTTATTTGGTGCTGTTATTGATATAAGCCTATTTGTGATCTGATCAATCCCCCTGTTCGGATATTTAGCAGCTTGCCACCATTTGAAGGGAGTGGTGAATGTTAATAACCCTCCAGTGGGAAGACTTTGACATTATTTTAATCTCTAATCAAACAACATGTTATGTCACTTGTGATATCTGTATAGCTAAAGGTTTGCTTAGGCTATATTGTAATTTCTAACTACAATCAAGAATAATGTGTTCGTTGTTTTCATTTTATGCAAATTGGTATCCAAAGTGTTTTCGTTAGTTGCAGATGCTCCATCCACTGGTTAATATGACGCTGTTTTGTAGAGTGCAGCAATTTATAATAATGCATTAAATCCACTGTACCACTGCAGTAATTCCAATTATCAGTGTTATATCAATTATACTGTAGTACTTCCTGATTTTCTTGGTTGAAAGTTAGTTGTCTTATGTTTTCTGACTCACTGACTTGTATTTCATTTACTCAAATAGTGAAAGTTTACACTTATAAATAGGTTGTCTGTAAACTGACTTCTATAAAAAGGTTTAAAACATGAAGTGCTGCCACTGCCTATTATTAATCAGTTGATTAGTGTCAAAACTAACTAATCAGTTGTTTGGCTAATAAAATGTAAGAGATGATTTTTAAAGAATCCATCCCAGTTTGTCTCAGCAACACTCCAAAATCCAAAGAGATTCACTAGTCTGTTATGTGTTACAAAGAAAATGTCAAATCCTCATCTTAGAAACAGCAAATATTTGACATTTTTGCTTAAAAAGATTTTTTTTAATTGCAGGTTGACGTTCACTCAAATATTGATAATTAAATTTTACCCATGCCTGATCATAAACTGCACTTCTCGTTAAATAAACATGCCATTTCTTACATCAAATTCAGAATTGTTGTTTAGAAATATCATTATAAATGGCACAGCTGCCCATCATACTGTCTTTTAAACCCACTTGTCTGGTTTCTCTTCCTAAAGACAGGGAAATTCCAGGGCTGCTAATTAAAATATGAGTCAGTAAATCTAAATTGCAGTTTGAAATGTGGGAACCCTTCAAATTTAATCTGTGGTAATTTGTCTCACCCACTTTTAAAGCCTTTAAATGTGAATATATGAATCATTGTGTAGGTGCGCACAGGGCAGCACTGTTTCAGTTTTGTTGCACAGGCACAGACATTATCTCTGTGACTTTTGTGTCTTTTAAATCAGATTCCAAATCATTTGAGCCATGGCTCATAAAGCTATTGTTTACCTTGGTCAGTCTAGAGTAAACACTGCCTAAGTACCTGATTAAGTCCACATGTACAACGAATGCAATCTAAAGCCCTGCCATATCATCCAAATGCATGAAGCTTACAGTGTTTCAGGTATTGGTAAAATTGCAAATGTTTATTATTGTGGTCATATTGGATAAGTGGTATAGATCTCAGTAACAGTGCCCCTGCGCTATAGTCTTAATGCTTTGACATTAGAACAAGATGAGCCTCCAAGATGGTTTTAAACTGAGATTTAAGGCGACTCCAGAGAAACATACATCATTCTACTCAGTGAAACTCAAACATCCAAGTGACATAACCGTATGGGCAGTCTTTAACCTTTTGCTAAACTTGCAGAGCTTCAGATTTATTTTATTTTGCTTAATTTAGTAAGTGCCTTACAGGGGAATGTATCCAGGGAGAGGCAGTATGTCTGTACAACCTCAGTAATGCTGTTTGAATGATGGACTGATGCAAAAGCAAACTGGATTAATCTGCTGATGACACAGACAATTCAGTTATAACCAAGCATCTGCCAGAGTCCATCTCCAGACCCGGGCTGTTTCCACCAGCTGAATGTTACTAGACATTTATTTTCTGAAGTGCACAGTGCTCAGAGTGGGTATATTTGTCCTGGTTTGCTCCCACAGCTGATATCATTTGGTTGTTAATACAGTTACTGAGAAGGCTGCTAATATGAGATGAAGTAAAATTAGTTATGTTAAAATATCCACGTTTCTTTTTGTGTTTGTGTTGAGAAACTCTTTAGTTGTATAGACGAGAAGACAAAGCGCAACACTGCTCCTTACCGTGGTTAGTAAGTAACATGGGGGTCCTGCTGTTGTGTGCTTGTCCAGACAGGCACTTCCAGCTGTTGTAACCAGTCACATTAGGATGGCACAGCTGACCATGTTAACACTGCAGATAGAACAGAAATACCAGACAGAATTAGAAAGTAGTTCATGCACAGTCCCCAAGCATTTGTGGGTGAAAGTGTATCTTCATGTAATGATGTGTTCTCTCTGCCATTTGTGGACATGAATTGATGTTGTGCATTACAGTTCAGTAACAGACCCTCACTTTGTGCTTGAATGGGTGAATAACTGTGTCTTTTCTCTACTATGCAATGGGCTAAACTGGCCAGTCAGCCAGAGAGATGACAGCATTACACTCAGACTTTGGACTCAATATCCAATTAGAATAACATGTTATCTTTATGGTATTTTATCTGTAGGGCTTAGCTATGTTCATAGCTCCTTTCATACCAGTGTGACTTCTCAATCCTCCCTGCAGAAAAACAAGCCACTGATTTTTCATTTTATTTCATTTTATTTATGTACTTATTTTTAAATATTGACGTTACTGCTGCCAAGTGTTTTACTATGTCATACATCGTTTTGTGTTGTATCGGAGTTCAGTAATGCACGTTATCTGAGGCTACAAATGAAAGGTTAAGTTGAACAACATCTGTCTGTTTTTGGAGCAAATCTTAAGAAAAGACCAAAACCAACAATTAAATCATCCAACAAATAAGTACTGTTTGTGTTGGTAAAACCTGATGCAGCCTGTTTGTCTCTGCCATAGGCCTCCGTTAACACATAAATGGGCGACACCATCGCACTGAGTGACAGGTTCTTTCATTAGGTGAACATGGGCGTTGTATTCAGTCGATGCCACCTGCCACTGTAAATACTTGCTAACCAAATTCAAATGAATCTGTAGCTGAAAATGGTCCTCAACACATGCACTGCAAGTCTGCCGTGAGAAATATTTACTGAAAACTAGTCTCCAACTGTTTTAGTAAATAAAAAAAGAAGGTGTGTATTTGTGACCAGTATGAACCAGTGGCCTTATGGCTGAGAGGTGAAACATGAGGATGGATGAACACATTGTTGGTTTTCTTCTTTTCCTTAGGTTAAGCCAGCCTTATCTTCTATCTGGACTCTTAAAAAGGTTGGGGTCTCTCATTTCTATAACAGAGATATAATTAATGTAAATGTAGTTTGGTGCATGTTTTGTAGTTTGAGCTGATGAGCACCATCATCTAGCTTTCATCAAATTCGCTTACAACTGGAAAAATAAAGAGTCCTCAACCTTTTTCTTTGGCACCTTCCATTTCTCTGCCATCCTTGTGTTTTTTTGTTGTTATACCTCTGACCTCTTCCAGTGGTAACCCATCCTGGTCTCTCCATCCACAGGAGGGCTGCCTCTGGCAGTCTTTAACCTGGGTAAGATCCGCCCCTACCAGAGGGGCTTTTTCTGTAATGACGACAGCATCAACTACCCTTTCCACCAGAGCACAATCACCTCCACAGTGCTCTACACTGTGGGCTTCACTCTGCCCATTAGCTGCGTAAGTAGGATTTAATCAAGGCAGGTTGATAACAGACACATGACAGATCCCATGGAAAATATGTTGACTTGTTCAACCACAGGTGTAACGTCAAAGCATACCAGGGCGTGTCAGGGTACCTGTGTATACAGGTGTGGTGGTACACCTACATGGAATGCAACCATTATTATGGTTACCAGCTTGTTGTGGTTTCTCTGCTATAGTGAGTCTGCCATGAGACATGTCTGTTAGGGCTGACAGAGGCCTGTACATTACAGAAGAGAGTTCCAGAGCCTGATTCAGGGCGTGTTGAGAACAACTAGCTTCCTATTAGATATTACAATTAACTTAATTTGATCAGCATCTGCCAAGTGTCACACCAGTTACTGAAGCCAAATGTGTTTCGTGTCATTTATTTAGTTCTGCTACTGCTTCTTATTCCACCGTGAGCCTTGTGACATCACTGTTACAGTTGACCAACACCGACTCCTCAGGTTGTGTACAAAAAGACTAAGGCAAAGGATGATGCCCGCTTAAAAACATTTAATACAAAATTAAACACAAAAACTATCCTCCTTTTACTGATGTCTCCATCTACTGCTGCAGGATTTAGAAAGCTTTGTGCAAAAAATGACTGTTTAAAGTGATTTTAATCATCCTGTAGGTCAGCGTTCATTTTGCTAACATTTATTTTCAATTAACAATCCAATACTAAACCTCTGGTTTAACAGTCCAATACTAAACCTCAGCCAAACGCACACACTCTGTCAAAGAAAGGACCAGAGTTTAACCCAGCTACTGCTTGTACACTATGTACTATTAAATAAAAAGTATAACGGTAGTTACAGCTGAGCTTTTTTGCTCTTAATTTAATCATCATGTTTTCAATGTTCACTCTAGTAGGTGAACTTTGGCTGTTAATTAGTACAACAGATATGAAGCCTGCTTCCTTTAAATGGCAGCACTGCTGTTCTGGAATGGAGCAGTTTGTTTTGAGAGAATGACAAAGGCAGAAAGGGTTGCTGATGGTGTGTGCACTTTGCTTGTGTGTGTTATTTCTATGTGGTGTCGGTGACTTATCTCTTCCATCTTGCGGTCTTTGTGTTTCATGACTAATCATTTCCATTTCTAACATTTCTGCCTTAAATGAATTGTGAGTTTTACTTACTTCATTATCTTACTTCACTGTCTGTCAGAGGAGGATGTGGGTCTTTCAAACAGAAGTGGTTAGTCAGTTTTAGGAACAGGTTAAGTAGTGCGTAGAAGAAACAATAGGTTCCACTTTGAGAGGATGGTTCAGTCATTAACAGTAAGTGTGAAGGGGGTACCTATGGTTTCTTTTTGCACGGCGCCAGCTTCAGCCCGCTGTGTATTTATTAGTGAGAATTAAATCTAGGATTACGATCCCTAATTAAAACATGCCTCCTGCACCTATCACAGCTTCAGAAAGAAAGAAGAAGGAGCTCTCTTCTCTGGATGCTCCATAACCTGCTTAGAAATGACATTTTTATGCTCTCAGGTTTTTCTGTTAACATCCGCTGTCTTGTTGCTATGCCCACCCTTTAAACATTATTTGCACCCTGATGTTCCTGAAAGCTGGCAAGGATCCTGCTGCTTCCAGAGGAACCTCACATGGCTTTCACCTGCTGCTCTCACCTGCACACACTGCTGCATCATGGGTAGAGTGGGCCCCAGTGACATCTTGTAACCAATATGTTTTCCTTGTTTTTTTCCCTCACTGCTTCTCCGTTAGCTGGAATTCCGTTTGTAATACTCAATGTACAACACAGACCTTTCCGCCGAGGCTTTTTCTGTAATGATGATTCACTCAAGTATCCTGTTAAAGAAGACACCATTTCCTATCCATTGCTAGGAGCTGTTATGATTCCCATCACAATAATCACTGTAAGTGCATCTGTTTGGTTTCACCTTGGTGCTTCTTATATCTTTCTTGGTCCACTTGTACACCCTTGTCTTATCTCTTATACCATGGACATTGCCATTCATTATAAAGTATGTGTGGTTTTAATTGCTTGCGTAACCAGTCATTACCATTAGTTAGATTACTTACTGCATGTGGTAAAAATGTTTCCAAAACATTAACATTTAAAGATGAAGCAGAAATGCGACCAGAGGCTTTACTGTGACACTAACAGCACTAAATCAATCTGCAGCTGCTGCAGTACTTTGCAAAAGAAACACTAATACAGATGTGAAAGCCTTTACAAGAAGGGTAGTGGGAACTTCAGCCAGCTGCTGATGCCCCAAAAGAGTCTCTGTCCATTCAGTGAACAAAAAGCGGAACATATACATTTACTCAAGACTGTAGGGTTTGTGAACAAAACGGCTGAAAAGCCAACATGGGAAACAAACGTAATGACATGCACCAAAACCACATTTTATGCAAGTGGAATTCTTGAGCCATTCTTCTGACACATTTCACATCACTATGAACACAATAGTAAATACAAAGATGTTTACTCTGAACCCCGATAATAGGCATGATTTAACTGAAATGTTTGGATCTAATATTATACTGTATGTTTAGTATTTTAAGTGGACATCATCCTACTGTCGTGATATTGTCAGCATTACTATGTCTGTATGGTACAGTGGGGTGGCAACTTGGAGGTAATGCCAATTTGGTCAATTTGTGGTTTGTCAGGTTCTCTGCAATTGGACGTGTCGAGGTGTTGTCACAGAGTGCTGCGCCCAAGTTAAACTTTGCTTTTACTTCAGTGCAGGGATGGCGTGCCCACTGCGTCCTATCTGAACATGGCTTAACAGCCAGGCTTGATTAATCCTGGTTCCTTATTTGTTCTGTCAGCAGTCACTCTGATCAGAATCCAATGAATTGTTTTACAGTTAATCTGTAAAATGTGATAGCGTTCATGAAAATTACACACACACACATATACTGTAGCTCATTTGGGTCATTCCACAAAAGGTTTTGGATTAGTGGTTGTAATTCATCTTCATGGTATATTTCTAGATAAACATATAATTTCAGCTAAAGACAGTGGTTAGAAAATGTATATTTTAGGTGACATGATGCATTCAGTTGGTCCGTTACCACCTGCCACGTTTGTTCTCTCTTTTTCTGTAATGATGATTCACTCAAGTATCCTGTTAAATAAGGATAATCACCTTTATTTGGCCAAGTGTGTTACACGCAAGGAATTTGTATAGAACCGGCACCAACTCATACCAATGGCTCTAACCGTCAGGGGCAACTTGGGGGTTCAGTGTCTTGCCCAAGGACACTTCAGCCTGTGGACTGCAGGCACCAAGATTTGAACCTCCAACCCTCCAGTTGGGAGACGACCACTCTGCCCAGTGAACCACAGTTGACACCATTTCAGACATAGTAATGTTGACAAATAAAACACAGCTTATATGTCGGCATCAGTGAATCTGTTATCGACCTCGTGGTCTGTTGAAGAAAGCAGTGAAGTGCATATTTATCCAAATTACTTAGACCTGGCCTGACTTGGCCACACCTCAACATTGTGAAACACATTAAGCCAGGATGCACATACAGTGCCTTGTGAAAGTATTCGGCCCCCTTGAACTTTGCGACCTTTTGCCACATTTCAGGCTTCAAACATAAAGATATAAAACTGTAATTTTTTGTGAAGAATCAACAACAAGTGGGACACAATCATGAAGTGGACGAAATTTATTGGATATTTCAAACGTTTTTAACAAATAAAAAACTGAAAAATTGGGCGTGCAAAATTATTCAGCCCCCTTAAGTTAATACTTTGTAGCGCCACCTTTTGCTGCGATTACAGCTGTAAGTCGCTTGGGGTATGTCTCTATCAGTTTTGCACATCGAGAGACTGAAATTTTTGCCCATTCCTCCTTGCAAAACAGCTCGAGCTCAGTGAGGTTGGATGGAGAGCATTTGTGAACAGCAGTTTTCAGTTCTTTCCACAGATTCTCGATTGGATTCAGGTCTAGACTTTGACTTGGCCATTCTAACACCTGGATATGTTTAGTTTTGAACCATTCCATTGTAGATTTTGCTTTAGGTTTTGGATCATTGTCTTGTTGGAAGACAAATCTCCGTCCCAGTCTCAGGTCGTTTGCAGACTCCATCAGGTTTCCTTCCAAAATGGTCCTGTATTTGGCTCCATCCATCTCCCCATCAATTTTAACCATCTCCCCTGTCCCTGCTGAAGAAAACCAGGCCCAAACCATGATGCTGCCACCACCATGTTTGACAGTGGGGATGGTGTGTTCAGGGTGATGAGCTGTGTTGCTTTTACGCCAAACATAACGTTTTGCATTGTTGCCAAAAAGTTCAATTTTGGTTTCATCTGACCAGAGCACCTTCTTCCACATGTTTGGTGTGTCTCCCAGGTGGCTTGTGGCAAACTTTAAACGACACTTTTTATGGATATCTTTAAGAAATGGCTTTCTTCTTGCCACTCTTCCATAAAGGCCAGATTTGTGCAGTATACGACTGATTGTTGTCCTATGGACAGAGTCTCCCACCTCAGCTGTAGATCTCTGCAGTTCATCCAGAGTGATCATGGGCCTCTTGGCTGCATCTCTGATCAGTCTTCTCCTTGTATGAGCTGAAAGTTTAGAGGGACGGCCAGGTCTTGGTAGATTTGCAGTGGTCTGATACTCCTTCCATTTCAATATTATCGCTTGCACAGTGCTCCTTGGGATGTTTAAAGCTTGGGAAATCTTTTTGTATCCAAATCCGGCTTTAAACTTCTCCACAACAGTATCTCGGACCTGCCTGGTGTGTTCCTTGTTCTTCATGATGCTCTCTGCGCTTTAAACGGACCTCTGAGACTATCACAGTGCAGGTGCATTTATACGGAGACTTGATTACACACAGGTGGATTCTATTTATCATCATTAGTACTTTAGGTCAACATTGGATCATTCAGAGATCCTCACTGAACTTCTGGAGAGAGTTTGCTGCACTGAAAGTAAAGGGGCTGAATAATTTTGCACGCCCGATTTTTCAGTTTTTTATTTGTTAAAAAAACGTTTGAAATATCCAATACATTTCGTTCCACTTCATGATTGTGTCCCACTTGTTGTTGATTCTTCACAAAAAATTACAGTTTTATATCTTTATGTTTGAAGCCTGAAATGTGGCAAAAGGTCGCAAAGTTCAAGGGGGCCGAATACTTTCGCAAGGCACTATAGTAGACTAGGTCTAGCCCCACTTTGTCTTGTTAGCTTGGATTTCTTAATTCTAATTTTGTGTAATACCCCCAGGACATGGTTAGCTTTTCTTATCATAAAGACTGGAAACAGAAGGAAACATCTGTCTTTGCTCTTTCCAAAATAATCTACACACTTGCACCCTAAAACTTAGTAATTAAATTATTTTACCTTCATTGATTAAAAAAAAAAAAAAAAAAAAAGTACAAAAACTGGACTGTAAAAGATGCTGATAGGCTCATTTTGTTACCCTTCAGCAGAGGCGGGTCGGCTGTAGCCTTTATGCTAAGATAAGTGAACTGTTTCCTGGCAGTAGTTTCATATTTACAGATAGGACAATAAAGCAGTATGAGTATTTCCCAAGAGGTCAGATCATTCCTTTATACTCTGTTAAAGAAACAAGATTTCTTTGTGAACTTTGTAACACCAAACCTACTATTTTAGCCCCAGTTATTGATGATGGGATTAGGGAATATTGCTGCCTCTGATGTTCCTACATTTCATTCAGTTACATCTTTTAATTCTCATTTGACATCTATTTCTGTACAAATATCCTGACTCTTATCTTTTCCTCCCTTCCCCTTCCTTTACAGATTATCTTGGGCGAGTGCCTTTCAGTTTATCTAAAGCGCGTCCGATCCAACTCCTCATTTGGCAGCTACCTTGCCCGTGTTTACAAAGCCATTGGTACCTTCCTCTTTGGGGCTGCGATGAGCCAGTCTTTGACCGACATAGCCAAGTATTCTATTGGCCGACTCAGGCCACACTTTCTGACAGTTTGCAAACCTGATTGGACACTTCTCAACTGTTCCTCTGGGGCTTATATCGAGGATTTCACCTGCGCTGGAGATCCAACAAAAGTCAATGAGGCCAGGTGGGTTTTATTTAATCTCTTTCTCTTATATATAATATTTGGAAATGGATGGATGGATGTGGAGCTAAAATGATTTAACTCATTAGTTAATAGCAAAAAAAAGCCAGCAGCAAGCTTAAATGTGAGGATTTGATGCTTTTCATATATTTATCTGAATATCTTTGGGTTTTCTTTGTCAAATAAGAATAGATCACCGGAGGTTGGGGAAAATTCTTGGATTTTTATGGACAAAAATTGTTAAATGAATTATTAGCTCTGTGCTCTCCATTGCTTTGTAACATGCTCACGGTGTGAGTGAAAAGGGTAAATGTTTCACTGAAGATCCTATAATGTGTTTCCTTTGATTTAGAATCTGCCCAATATTTTGAGATGAAGTACTCAAGATTCCACTGGGCTTTGCATGCATGATTGCTTCTGAGCACAACAAACAGGTTCAAGAAAAACAATCTCAGTAACCGGTTATTTCATTAGGTACATAAAGATTACATTAATAGTACTGCCACAAATCCTCCCTTTATGAAGGGGATCCCACTTTTCATAAGTGAGCCATAAGATTTGTGAACAGAATTACCTACCATGAACTGACAAACTTGCTGTGTGTACACAGATGATATGATTTCCAGCTCACCACAGCAGAGATACAAGAATCAAGTAATATCCCAGGAATGTAAAGCTTGTTTTGATTCAGGTCCCTATCCTTTATCAGCTCAGAGCAGAAGGAAGTACTGGGAGGAGAGGATATCCACTTCTAATTCTGACGTAGTAACACCCACCGAGAGCAGCTGTAATTATAGAAGCAGAGGCCTAAATAGTGGCATCACCTCTGCCAACTGTATCCATGTTAACGCTTTATTATGGACTACAAGGAACTTTGTGCTCTTTGCTATTCTGCTTAACTTAAGGTGCATTAACTAAGATTTTATCGTTTAATCAATCAAAAAATGGGACAGGTTGTCATGACCCACCCACCCATGACGGTTTGTTGCCTACAGCACTTCTATTGTTATTCCAACTTCTCTACCCTGTGTTGTCAAAGTACGGCATGTAAATTAGCCCCATCCTCCACCTAATGAACGAAATGAAAGATGTTTTTCTGCACAAGAATTCCTATATGCCTGGACTGTGTGGTTATGCATAAATGGTGAATTTGAATCTTGAAATCTTGAATCATATTGGCAGCAGCCAGTGTTCTACTGGATTGCCACATTTACTCGTCAGTCAGCTAAGACTAGCTTCAGACTGGAGGCTGCATTTTGTACAGTTTGTTGTAACCAGGCATCCATAGTTTACGTTCTGGCTAAGAAGCAGGAAGTGATGGGAAGAGCGAGCGGCTTATATCAGTTTGTTTTGAGTCTCACTAGACCTTTTAGCAGTTCAAAAGAAATTGGAGTAAAGGTTAAGTTTTTCTATTTTTAGATTGAGAGTGTTGTGTTTTTCTTCACCCCCATGAACAGTTTCCCTGAGCTTCTAAGAGCTGAGCGGACATTTGCCCACTCACCCGTCTGTGCTATACATTTACAGGGTGTGGTGCACGATCAATAAAATTTCCATGAGCTCCGTTATTACTCGGAAATGTAACTTAATGAAACATTTATTGGCAAGTCAAAAGAAGGATCAGGTGATTCAATGCACTGATATAACCAAGGCTCAAATGATGTATTCTAGCTCCTGTGTATGTTTGCACTAGTCTGCTAGTCACTAATAGAGCTAATAAGCTCAGTGGAAGAGGAGGGAGCAGGTCGGGCTGGCTCCTCCGGGTCCTCTTACAGTAATGTGATTCCTCCTCAGTTTAACCTCCATGAGAGAGTTGTGTGTGTGTTTTCATTTAAAACATAAAGATGCTCTGTCTCCTGACACGTTGAGTGCTTAATAAAATGTATTAGTTTTTTTGTAACTATTTATTTTGTAAGATGGGTATACATAACATGAATATAGACTGTGGAGCGCTCCCTGGCAGTTTAAACCTGATGCCACAGAGGAGGTATAGAGTCCAGCCGTATTATTACATTGCTAGCATGGCTCTAAACAAGTGTTATTGACTTTTTGTGTGTGGATCTACACAGCAACAGTCGGTGAACCCCAGGCATGGATGTGGCCAGTGTGCAGTGCTGACTAATAGATGTATAATGATAAATTATGTAGGAATACAACAAGACATGTCAGAGTTTCCTACTGGCTTTTGTTTGAAGCAAATGGGGACAGCAAAGTCATGTGATGCTCTTGTCTTTCCACTGCAGATTATCCTTCTACTCCGGCCACTCCTCTTTCTCTATGTACTGCATGCTGTTCCTGGCAGTAAGTATTCAGACCACTTACCTATTGATATACAGTTTTATCAGTATTCACCTGAACACTGGGTCCAAAGGCAAGAACATTCTGGACCTTTATATGACTTTTTAAGCGCTGTAAATATATTTTTAAAGATGAATTTATTGTAATGTTATGTTGCCATGTCAAGCATTTTAGAAAATATCTCCAGCTTATTGACTTTCTTGCTGAGAATAAGATGAGAAGATTGATCGTACTCTTACATTTGTCCTTTAAATATAGAGCTACAGCCAGCAGCTGTTTAGCTTAGCTTGGCTATAGCATTTTATTTAACAGACAGATAAGAAA